GAACAGTGATGGTGGAGGCTGAAGCAATCATGAACAGCCGTCCCATATCCTCTCCCGACATGACCCAAACTGACCTTGTAGAACCGCTAACACCTAACCAAATACTAACTCAAAAGACTAGACGAGTACTGCCCCTCCCTGGTAGATTCCAGTCAGCAGATGCTTACTCTCGCCAGCGCTGGCGTAGAGTCCAGCTAGTAGCAGACCGCTTCTGGTCAAGATGGAGGACGGAGCTCTTGTCTTCACTCCAAGAGCGCCGACGATGGAGGTCGGCGAGGCCCAACGTTCAACCGGGCGACGTCGTGCTCCTGATGGAGGAATCTCCGAGAGGCAGCTGGCCTCTGGGCCGGATCGTCGAGGCCGTGCCCAGCCGTGACGGCCTGGTGAGGAAGGTGAAGGTTCGCTCCGGAGGCCGGGACCTGGAGCGGCCTGTGCACGGCATCGTCAGCCTGACGCGCTGAGCGGCATGGCCGGCGCGGCAGAGACCGGGAGCTGACCGTGGCGACTCTCAGCCCGGGCGCCGAGCGGGGTGAGATGTGATACAGACTCGGTGAATGGAGGACTCGAGCGGCTGATGTGGCCGTGCGATGATGGTCAAGGGTGGTGGCTCCATCTGCGGGTGGCCGTCGCTATCCGACATCTGACTGATCGGAGCCAGTGTGTGTACCTATTCACCGGCAGGGAGTTGTGTCAGCCGAGACACGCACTCTCACGATCGGACTGTGGTGTTATGAGGAGCCACGCGCTGTGAGAATGCATTCCTAAGTGTTACGAGGAGCCACTCGTGTTGTGAAAGGTGCATTTTGAGTGTCATGGGGAGTCACACGTGCCGTGAGAAGTGCTCACCTAAGCGTTATGAGAAGTTATGAGTCATGCGCAGTCATATGCGTGGCGATAAGTGTGTGGGAGTTGCTAGAGAAGTAAATTTTGTTTACCAAATTTAGAGGAGCCATGTAACCGCGAGTGTCGCGGGCCGTATATTTTGGTTGCCTCGTCGTCCGTCGGCGAAAGGCATTAGCGGCGCGGTGGAGGCAAAGAGTTCGGCCGCGTGGCGGCGTCACGAACGTTCCGCATTGTTTGGATGAATTGAAAGGCAGAAAGGCGCAAACGATGTAAGTTGGTTGAAATGATTAATTTTTGCTATGTACTGTGCAATGAGTTAATGGCTGACTTCATTCTTAACGATTTAACGACTGTTTCATACGATTTTCTGTTCGTTTCAGAATTTACGGCATAATACAGCTATGTCACAGAATCGCATTATTAGATGGCTGTAACACAGCTATTCTTCTCCACAGTTCCGTAACTCCAATAGGAAGTATCACTCACTTGTTTGATATCCCTAGCGATGAATCTCTGTCCGGAGGTGTGCCCGATCTGTCCAACCTACCCCGGGAGGCGGACGTGACCGGTGCCGCGGGCGGCGGCAACTGTCAGTCCCGAACGGCGAGCTCGGTGCAATATCTGTCGGTCGCCGCGCCGGTGTCACCCGGTCCGCCGTCTGGTCCGATCGGTCCGCCGTTTGGTTCGATCGGTTCGCCGGAATGGCAGTCAGAGTGTCGCCTGTTGCACGGAATAGAGTCGACGCTCGGCTGTGTGATTGGGTTCGTCGGAGCGGGATCTCTGACATCGTTCATAGCTAGCTCAAAGTTCATAGTTCATGGCAGTGAATGGGAGAGCCTCCTGGTCCATGATATGTGCACATACAATGAAGGCAGAAAGATGGTAAGTCGTTATTAGACTAAAGTTGTTGCCTTCTGATAAAAAATTCAGTAAGACTGTGCTACTGCTAAGGTTAGCAACTATACAATGTGGGAGATGGCAGATACCTACTCAGTCTTTCTATAAGTCAGTCCCCAGATAAGCACTGTTTCACCTCCTATCTAGAATAGAGTCCTCTCACACAGGGGCACAAAGTGTGCGCTGCATCGATCGGCCGCGATGAATATGATCCCATATCGTCCGTCGACCTGACATAACCTTGCAACCGGCACTGTCAACTGCATCGGAAATTACGGCCCTCGACGAATCCTGCAGCCGACAGGGCGAACGAATTTACGAGTACTGCCTAACACTTGCTAAACGGTCATGCTCTGGGCCTAAAGCGATATTGGGAGGTCCATTATTCGTGGAAAGTTTGGGTGGATGATTGGTATTTCACGTTAAAAGCTGTTAGAGTGGTGAAGTTTAATCATTTTGCCGCATGATTGATGATGCTTTAACGCTGTAGTTGAAGACCGGCCTACGCGTGCCTAACCATGGTTACGTTTCGCAACCGCAACCGTAACCGTGGTTACCGGCACACTTTGTCCGGTCGGTATATGCGCAAATGCCGTGCTAAGCTCTTGCTATGCACGACGCTTTTAAGGATTATTGTTGTGCTTGGGCATTTTACGAAATGACAGGAATTATGAATTGTGTAGCTAGTGAAGCTAGCCGATTAGATAACAGACACTTGGGCTGTGCACCAATCCCAGGACGTTTGTCATGCCTTATATATGTTGCATGTATGTGAAATACAGATGAGATGAGATGAGATGAGATAACCTCTTTTGGTAGTGCATCGCAAGTATGATATAAGGAGGCGTTTGTCGGTCTTTAATCGTTTAATGGCAACACAATGGATCGTCTAATCCTTTTGAACAATGGACTTCGCAGCAGTGTGGTCGATCCACGCGGTGGCAGATGTGTGATGAACAATTAATAAATGGAAGAGCTCCTATGTCGATTTACGGCATGTTGAACGTGCTGGATATTAGCAGTGTTCGCTGCCATCTTAGAGAGCTCATTTGCCGTTTAAAATATAACAATATGCAGCTGACACGAATATTGACCCCACTGTTTCTGCTAACTTTGAAGTAGTTTGCAAGCAGCCTGGTGCGGCCGTCTCGGTAACATGACGTCGCAGGCACGGCTGACGTTCAAAGTCAGCTGATGGGACAAACTTGGTTAGTTAGGTGTGCTAATCGGCCTCCTTTGGGATATCAGCGTATGCTACTCGGATGAAATGCTCCTGGACCCGGCTGGTATGGGTAAACTTTGTGAATATCGTTCATACTCAGAAAATGGTTTATTTGATTATGCATCATGCAACTGCATCTATTTGATTACACCCGACTCATCGAGACGGTCGCATAAGGCCTGCAGTCGATCTGTACTCAGCGCTAACTCAATCACTGCGAAAATGGCGGCAGTAATTTCACATGTTATCAGGCTCTACATACCGATATACACATCAGGCTATATGTATTCTGTAGGTACAATACAGAGATGGTTTTTTATTAGAAGTTATCGTGCTCTTTAACTTGTTCAGGACTCTGGAGCTTTTTATGGACAATGTAATGTTCTGAATGCGGAAGCCATTGCGTGAAACTAGCTGGCTGACCTTCACTATCATAAATTAACTAATGAGCACGAAAATTTAAAAGAAAAACTTTAACAGTCACTACATATTTCTGCCTGTACGGCAATCATCTCAACTTCCAGACGCATAACGTATTATCTCTTCTGGTGGAAGAGACGCTCTTTCCCTCACGAAATTAATTGGAGCTGCACTTCAGGCTGAGTTACGCTGGTCATTTCGCTGCACTCGAGCCTTAAATCAAACGCTATGCTCTCGCCCAATACGGCGAGCGCGTGCCCCGCATAATTAACTCTTATCACAACGTGCAGCGTCCACTGCTATCACAGTCTTAGGAGCTAGCCGGCCACCTATCAGTTAATTACTGAGTTGAGCAACGGGTTTTAATCCCGTCAAGCCCCTCGCTACTGCCGGTGGCGACCGGTGGCTCTATTGGCTCGCTTCGTTCGTTAACCTTCAGAATCCACCCCGCTGTGCTGTCCTTGGTGATAATCCCCTGCACGCGGCCTTCTGTTCACCACCAGTCACCGCTAGCTGAGAAGTCGAGGCCGAGGATCGGCATGTGACACATCCCCATACCTTCCCCGCTGGTGAGTGTGGCCATGGCGACGGTTCGACCGCAGCCGGCGTCTCCCGGGTCCTCAGTGCCCCTCGGCTGTCCGCCCCCTGGTCTGAGGATATCAAGAGCGTTCACCGATCATCCATTCCAGTTTACGTAAGCTTGATGGAACGGAGAGAATCGTCTGTCCATTAACCGGAGTGTTATCAGGAAATGGATGCCTGCTCATGGATCGGCGGGGATCTGGCGGACAGATCTGATCCCTGACCCATGCCACATCATGTCAGTCGCGATGTTCATGTCAGTCTTTTATGGGACCGGGATTTCGTACCCGCCAGTTGTGTTGAGTTTTAAACTATCACAAGAGACATTGTTTATACCAAGTGTGCGTTTGCTGGGCCCACAATGTGAATCCGAACGCAGCATTAAGTTCGAATCTGCATTCATTTATGCAGATATCTTCTCTCGCTGCTGCATGCACATTGTCTGCAGCTGATGCATCGCCTGATTCAAAATGAAATGCGAACTCAATAGCAGGCCACTTCTGCATTGGGATATGCATGTGGCGGAAGGAGTTCTTGCATGAAACCCGCAGCTCAAAACGTTCTATATTCTCGTTTTAATGCATCGTCTTTGCTGGCAAATCACATATTACAAGCGAACCACCTCAAGTGTCTGTGTAAGAAATAATCTGATCATTGTGAATGTAAAGTTGCGTCTCTGGTCATTTGGCAGTGTTAGCAGTGTTGGTATTTTGTCCGTCTCGTTTATCCCTTCTGGTTGGTTTGTGAATTGCAACTGTTGTTATATAGTGTTTTGTGGCACTCGGATTAACACTGCATTTATTTTTCAATACCTAATGCCAGAAGTGTTTGTTTTGACATGACTACTCGTCTGTACTTCACCGCTTCACACGGTATGTATGAGTGTACGTCCGTTCCAAAACACAAATGTCGCATAACCGCCCTCCTTATCGATCCACCACCACACTGCGTATTTGTAATTGTGCCGCGCGCTGGCGCATGTTCGTACGTTCGGTGGCGTCATGTATCGTTTAGCCGGCGGTGCGCCGTTTTTCAGACGGTTCCTCCGGAGGCGTCAATGGTGTCTGACCCGGACCCGGGCAAGCTGCGAGCTGAGGAGTGGTAGAAGCCGAGCGCTGTCCGGCCGCCGCCGCCGGCCGCACGCCGACCTCTCACAGAGCCAGGCAGGTGGGTGTGACGGGTAGGGGACAGACTGAGGAAATGGGGACAGGGATATAATTGAGGAGGAAGGTTTGATGTGCCATAATTTATAAGTTCGGTGTGTACTTTAAATGGATAAGTGCAATGGATAGTATTGTATCCAATTTTCCATTCCTTTTTATCAATTCTCCATCTCCTGGCGGTGTATCGATCACGGTATAAAAAGCACACCAATCGCATGCGAGACAGCATCTTCATTTGATGGAACTGGAACCAATCAGCACAGAGTGTTTCATATGTCTGAGAGCGCCGCTCTGTGCAGGGGCTCCGGGAAAACGCCAGGCTGTCGCGACTCAGGAAATACTCCAGACAAACGTGTGCTTTGTTGGAAACGCATCGAGAGTGATCTGTAATCGCGGGGCGGCAGAGAAAAGTGCCAGTCCACCGCTCTGGTCAATGTGACTGGACGTGATTAAACACTGTTTAGGTCCGACGTCTCAGATTGTCATGATGTCTTGCGGTGCGGCATCAAATTGAAAATGTAACTTTGGTCGTTTTCTACCGAGTTAAGTCTTCAGTCAGTCAGTCACACCAGTCACAGCGGTACGCTCCAAATAGAGGCAGCGAAAGTGTGTTTAAAAAAAATTAATGTTTACCTATGCAATGCACGAATCGACACAATTCAGGTTATTTACAAAACCTTTCTACTTTAACAAAATGCATAACCAGACAGTTTTGCTAATCTGTTTTGAGGTTACCGGTTTGCGATCATGAACCCAGTTCACATGAGTGGATTCCTTTCAGCTTCGTTCATAGATGGCGCTGATAGTAAGCGCCTGAAAGCATACTGTGCCGCATTGCCTAGTCTGCGCTCGGTGGGAAATAAACTGCATAGAGGATAAAGAACATGTGAAATAAAATAGCTTCCAATAACATTGGCGAAATATGACGAAATCAATGAATAGACTGCACTTTGTATAGGCCATCTGGCATGTCAGTTACAAGTAGAAAAACACGGAACAAATAGTGCATGGACGCGTTTCGATTATTAAATCTTCATCAGCATGACATAATCACAGAGAAAACAAGATATGTGATTTATGTCATGCTGATGAAGATTTAATAATCGAAACGCGTCCATGCACTATTTGTTCCGTGTTTTCCTACTTGACTCTATCAATATACATATGTCAGTTATGTAAAACCAGTAAAACTATTGAGATGGCAGGTAAATTGATCCCACGTGAGCCGATTCCATGTCGGATCAATAGGCTTAGGCCCACCAGGCCCACGCAGCCTGGTGGGCCTAAGCCTAACCTTTATCATGAACTCTGGTCTGTGTGGGCGTCACTTGAATGTCCCTTGTCCAGCATTACTGCTAGAAAGCCCCGTATAGGAGCACAGCACATGCATCTCAATTGTGCCGGATGGTACCAGATAAACTCCATCAATCTACAGACGGCCCTCCGACACCAAGTCAATCGTCTGCGGCAGATCCTGGCAATCTTACGAGGACATGGTGGCGTTGTAGCTGCATTGTCATATTATGAAGGATATGAATCGCTGAGCGCTCGTTCATTGTGGTTGGCCTAGATATATAGTAACATTAGTAGACTTCACGCTATACAATACCTATGCATAAGCACAAGCAAATATTATGTATAAATGTGGAAGCTGGCCCTACCTCACGTTAACCTTGAGCAATTTGTATAGGGATTTGGCTCTGATGGCCTTGCTATTTTGGGTTCTTTTCTCGCAGATATTTCTGTTGAGTTTCATGACAGTGGCTCGCCGGCTGACCGTCACGTACCGGCGCTGTTGATGAGGGTGATTGTGTCTGTGGACCATGGACTGAGCTGTACTGAATCAAAGCCGTGCTCTCCGACAGGCGGCGGCGGCCACCGCTGGCGACGGCAGCCAGAGGTCAGCAGAAGGTCACAGCGGGAGCCGCGCCACCCGGGGTCAAGGTCAACACTCAAGGTCACCTGGACTGTGGGCTGTGGATGTCTGTCGTTGAGGGATAGATGTCACATCACTGAAGCATGGAGTCGTTTGTCGGTGGCTGCCGTCGACGCGTCGCCGTGGTCGGTCAGAACACTGTGTCACTAAAAGGTGAATCTGAGGTCATTCTGAGGTCATTCGGAGGTCACTCTGGGTCACTCGGAGGCCGCGGACGCCGAGCTGGGAGAGAGGGGTTTCTCAGGGAAGAGCGAGAGTCGGCGGCACTCGAGAGTGCGCCGCCAAGTCCTTCATCATGTTTTAACACGTGTGCTCTCCCAATTGTGTGTGACTTCACCGTAATGCGTAACGTCACCGCTGCGTGTGACGTCACCGGTACTAGGTGACGTCATCAGACGGTACATTATGTGACGTCATATCGTGTGTGGCGCGTGTGGCGGTTTGTGGACGGGTGTTCTCCGGTCGGTGTTGACGTTGCTTTTGCCGCGCGCAGTCGGACGGGGCTGAGCCGTCTGAAACTGTCTGAGGACGTTCTGAACTCATGTACCTGTTGTATGTGTCCGTGTACATAGTCTGGCGGTAGGTGTACCGTACCTCTGGTACCGCTGGTACTCGGTGGTACGGCCTACAGATGCGGTGTTCGATGTAAATCAGTGTAGTGTTATCGCCCGGTACTCGAGTGTGATTCTCTTCGGCGGCCAGCTTTTAGCTCACCCAAGAACCTCACTAGAAACATTTTCGTGTTTGGCCAGTAGCTATGGGATAATAATATAGCTGTCGATTATCTGCTCACGGAAGTTCGCTCTGCTGACGTTTTGTGTGACATATCGTCATGTACACTGTACACTTTTGTTGTTTTAGGGTAATGAAATTATTGTAAATGTCGAACAGGCAAAAGTAAATTAGTCAACATTTGATGTGCTTAATGGGGGTTATGTCATTTTCAGTTAAAAATGGTTGTACATATCACTGCGTGTAATGTGTATTGCTAACACAAGGAAATCATTTTGCGCTATTACACCTACTGCTTGAGTAAGAGATTAATCGACAAATTAACAATCACTTCATGCATCATTTTCTACGCGCCATATATACCTATCAGACAATATGTCCCTGCGAATCACAAGACCGACTTGTGTGCCATCTGATGTAAGACCCGATCGGAGGGAGGTCCGGGCCGAGCTGTTAGTCATTTATACGGAACTGTTTGATCCACTGTGCACTGTGTCGGTTGGTGTTTGGTGGGAGTGTTGCACTGTGCGCCGCGCTCGCTCGCCTAGTGCTGTGTAACGCACCTGCTCGGCACCTTTGGGAGTTCAGATATCGGCTACCTGCTCTGTAAAACTCATCATCAATCATACCCCGCCAGAGCATCTGTCTGGCTCTCATCACAAGCATCTCTCCTGTCTAATGCGCCCATACTCTTAGCTAGCAGCCTAGATGGAGCTTTTCTGGCATTAGGCATGAAGCGAAGCTATGTATTTTTGTCAGGATAGGTCGGTATAACGGTATATGTCTGGCTACTCGTCACTGCGTGATAAGGCTTTTGTATTTAGCTTCATTGATGGTTATGTGCGATAAAACAGAAAACGGGAAATACTCTATAAACTGTATAAGAGATTTCACGGAGATTTTCATGTTTGGCGTGCATTGTCACAGTTTGGACGGGTGAAAGGACGGGAAAGCGGCTATGACTGTGCGCCATACCGCGTATGACTGTGTGCCATACCGCGTATGCCCGTTAACTGTGCGTGCAGGTCGGAGCACATGTGCCATGTTTAGCTATAGGGGTTGCTAGCAACCGAGGCCAGTTAGCTGGGCACGGGTCAATGTTGGGCGCCGCCGGGCCGGCTGCCCGCCAGGTCACTGTACATGTGCGCGGTGTGTGTGTGTCGGTGTGTATGTGTGTGTGTACTGTGTATTCACCAATGCCGTGTCACTGGCTGCCTCTGTCGCACCGCTCTCGGAAATTCAATCAGTCGCTGTCACACGCCTCGGTCCCAGCTGATCCGACAATAAAGCTGGTCACACAACCTGCGGGTGTCTGGTGGCTTTACTGGAGTCTGTAATTGACGGATACGCTTCGTTGACATAAGAGTGATTAGGGATGGTCATATGGTTGTTTGACACCGCCAATGATGTCGCCAGTGAGATTAGCCAAAATGTTAGGGTGGGTCGTCAGAGCTAAGTTTGATAAGCAAAATCCACATTTCAGCTGTGCCTTTCATGACTCATTTAATGCAGTCGGCGAAATCTTTTTTTGCAGTCGGTTAAACTAAGGGTGAAATTAGAGCGCAAGTGATTATCTGCGGAACGGTCTGATGTTAGCGACTGCGACGCTGGCTGCTCAGTAGAAGGATGCTCTCCTCGATAAACCACCTATGTATAGGTATGTAATAATAAACTACAAAAGGAAAGTGTGAAATGACAAGAAAATAGTTTTTTTCGCAGTCGATCTTCCCATTGTCCAGCATCCATTCAACTTAGTGGGTTGTTCGGACGAAAGATAACAGACGCCTCGTGCTTGGAAACGGACAGGTAATTAAAGCTGATTAACTTATATCACCTTCTTCATTAAAGGACGGGCGCCTGCAACTGACATGATCACAAAAGGCTCCCACTGAAGGAAATATGTATGTAATGACTCTTAAACCTTTATAGAGCATTCTATTCGAGCTACTCAGGGAACAGCAGCATTGAAAGATGAAACGGAAAGCATTGAATGCCGAACTACCGGATGCCTACACAATCTAAATATTTTGTCAGGCAAGTTCATCAAGCGACTTGACTCATGGCGATCCCATTCTGATTTTCACTTGCACCTTACTTGCAATGCCCCACATAGATGCATGCAAATGCACACATTCCTTTACATCGTCCATGCATTTGATGAAAGTAAAACGGCAAATGCCCACCTGCTGAGGGACACGCACAACAGGACACTAAGCAAACTGAAAGGGGACCTGTCGCACGGCACGGCAGCTGGCCAAACACTGACAAACAGCGCACAATGTCGGGCCGAGTGGCACTGTTTGTCGCCAGCGCGGACGTAATGAGCTGTTTTTGCATGTCCGGAGACAGTAACGGCAGCGGAGGAAGAAAAGTGGACCATACTTGTGGGTGGATAATAGGTTTGGTGCCCACTGATTCAGTGTGAAACTGAATGCACACAATGTTTTGATGAAATGATCCCGATTGAGCTATGTCATTTTGCGGATTGTTTACGGAATTTAGAAGACTGAAGGCTACACGGCGAGTATTTTCGGTTCATCTGTAGGTGTTAGAAAATCCGGTGGCTCTGGCTGCCACTGCTCTATGGAAAACTGCCACTCTAATCACGTGACCCCGCCATGGCACGGGTGACCAATCGGCGGGTCGGGTCGGGATCGCCTGAGGGCAAACACTCGGCGGCCTCACCAGGTCAGATACTGTTCGGACGCCGTGCGTGGCGGGCGGTGCTTGTGTGCTGACCGTGTTGGACGCTTGAGCCTGACGGCTACGTGCCCTAATCCACCATAAAGAAGAAGCAGAAGTATTGCCCGTGTCTGCCCGAAAGGTGAGATATCTCGTTCGGCATTTGGGGAATTGTATGCACTTGTTTATTGGTTGTCCCCGATGTTATGCTTGGAGTCGCTGGTTGCACAGGGTCAAGGGTGTCCTAAAGTTTTTTTTTTAACTCAAATGCTGCCATGAAAATCTAGCTGAGCGCACTGGGCTCGTTTATTTACACCTTAGGTACAAGAATCGCCTTTGAATTTAGCGCACCATCAAACACATAGGGGCAGGGCATGTTTTTCAAAGAAAGAAATAATGGAGCCGATTAGCGAAAATGTTCGACGATTTCACCTTTAGCCGAAACGCAAGATCAACCAGGCTGGGCGGCGGGCCCCAGACCATTCAGGCCGTGTTTCTATACCTACTGCTGATGCATTTTCCATTGGGATGCCCGTCAAGACCGTCCATATTCAACCCGGATTTAGCCCATATTCGGAACAACTCGGATGCACTTGAAACTTGCACACAACATAGCCCTTAAAGTGAAATATGTGGCCCAAATAATTTGCAGTCACTCACCCCTATTGCCGTTTGGCCTATACAGAGACTAACAAAGATCACGATCCCGTAAACTTTCACTGCAGATTGTGGCCCACATAGTAGCCAGAACGCTTAAAATGTCACCAAACGACTCACCAGGGCCTCGATCTACTTTTCCACGGTCGAATTTACCCCTCAAAGTCACACGATGACCTTAAATCATTTTCGGGTAGGGTAAAAAGAAAAACAGTTGCACAGCAGTTCTTGAATATACGCATACGACAAAATGCGATCGGAAGTAGGTACATCATTCGGAAGCCCATATAATGTAGTAACTTCAGCACAAACCGCTAGTAAATGTGACCTCGTTTGACCTGGGCCGCGCGAAACGTTCATAAATTTAACGCACTGCCCCATCCCATTCCCCATCCCGGACTCAGCCCATATTCTGGACACCTTGGATCCGCTTGAAACTTGCACATAAGGCACTGAAGGTACCTTGCACCGAAGGTACTGAAAGATTGGCGTCAATACGTCTAGCGGTTTAGAAGTTATTGCAGAAAAACGGGAGGGGGCTATGAATAGGCCCGCGCCCAGTGGGGCGCGGGTTAATACTTCTTATTAAATTCATAATGTCTCTCAAAACTGTTCTCAAAACCATTCAAGAAAACAGAAAACTTAGATACATAAAAAATGAGAGAAGCTAGCGCGAAGTGTGAAAAACTATATGAGCCACCGCCGCGCCGGTGGGAGAGTGTAGGCTGTGCCGCAGCACACCAAACGCCTACCGCTTATACTGTACCGCCAGGCACCACTCGCGCCGGGCGCCCGGCCATCGCCGCAGCCGAGACCTGCCTTATTAAGGCCGGGGGGCCTGTGGCTCTTTTATGCTCAACCGTCAGTAGCGGCGGAACACATTCAATTAAGGGGGGGGGGGGGCACTGCCGACTTTTGGTCCCATTCTTTCCATGCAACGCCCATAGGGCTAATGTTAAAATGCCGAAATCAAAGGGGGGCACGGTGCCCCGGTGCCCTCCCCGTTCCGCCGCCTATGTATCGTGATCTATCGCAGTTCAGGTGGGATATTTTGAGGCTATTTTTAATAAGTCATTCCTTCTTTCTGTACTGCAGCATTTTCATCCTGGATACCTGCAAGGTATTAGAGCGCTGATTTCACGCCCCAAAATTAGTAGATATGGAAAGAGCGAAAAGCAGCAAACTGCCTACAGCTTCATTAGAGAGGAACTGAGCCAAAAGGTCGTTTGCTTCAAAATGTTATGAATTGTTATGTTATGATGTTATTGTTATGTTATGTTCAAAATGTTATGAACTTATGCAATGCATGTCAATAGGTAAGGCTTCATGACTAATCTATCAATAAATTCGTGACTTGGTCCAATCAATGCAGGGGCGTAACCAAGGGGGGGGGGGGCAAAGGGGCCATGGCCCACTCCCTGGGGCCTAAAAGGTCAATCGCGTTGTCAAAAGCTTTGTAAAGGGCATAATAAAGGTAGCGTAAGAAGAATGAAATATGAAAAACAAAACATGCGATGTGCAAATTCCAAACGTTATTACTTATTAGAGGCATTCAATGCATTGGCGTAGGCGTAGCCAAGGAGGGGGCCAAAGGGGCCATGGCCCTCCATGGCCCCTTTGGGTCATGGCCCCTTTGGGCCCAATCTTATAAAATGTCGTACTATTCTATTTACGGCATTTAGTAACATTCACAGTGATATCAGTGCTGACAAAGGTTTATCTGAGTCAACGAAATGATTCTTTAGACCGTCAAATTACGATGGACTGAAATGCGTGAAAACCATTTTGCATTTGATAGTCGTTTTCTGCAGATGAAATTCAGCCAGTGCTGGCATATCCATTCCACGGCGTTTATAAGATTGAGCCCTGAAGAACACGGGGCACCTATTCCCTAAGGCCCCTGGTTAGCTCAGTGGGCCCTTGGCGACGCAAAGGCCCCTGCGACAGATCCTTTGACGCAGTTGCGGCCCCCTCCAAAAAATAGCGGATGAAATCCTATGCTTTTTGGATTTGACAGATCCTTTGACCTGGCTACTCCCCTGGATCATTGCGCTGCAATGCCCCCAAGACGGCATGCAACATAATCCTGCAAGAAAACCCATCAACCAATGCACGCTGCATACGATAGATACCCAACCCTATTAGTGGCAGGGGGGTTGTTTTCATCCACCCCTCAAGGTTTTTCGGGAATATCTCCAAAACCGCTGAAGCTACGATGCTGAAATTTTCTGACTTTTCCTCAAACTAAATTGGGCACATTCCCTGAAAATTTCAAGTTCATTACTTTACCAGGGGCGGCTCCAGAGCACTGGGAATTGGGGGGTCCTATTCGTGAAGCGAGTCATTTGGGCGAAGATCACGATGCTGATGTATTATAACTGTTTGCACCAGTTCTACGAACAGTGAATGAAAGGTATCATGTGATAACATATACAAAGTTATTGTGCATCCTCTTTTGACACGTTTTTGCTGTAATAGGCGGATCCAGGCGTCCAAAAAGGGGGGTTATGTTTTACCTCCCAGCATACGTGTCCTGACACCGCCTATGCATGACCAATACAATTGTAGTCATTGTCTCATAAGAAAATTGTAACATAACAAGACCATTGCCACCCTTTTTAGAAACAGTACCAACAAAAACCTTATTTACTATACTTTTTGTGTACCCCCAATCTCAATGATCTGTATCCACCTATGATTTTTGAAAATGCATATTTTTAGGATCCATGTGAATTCCTGGTTCATTCTCTATCGATCGGCAAAAGTTGCGTTAAGATTGGTTCAGAAACCTGGCCGTGATAAACAGTCTAAAATGTATCTGCAATTTGCCCGTTTTTACCCCCCTCTACCCCCCTATTGACATTTTTTAATTTTATCTTTTTTAGAAATGTAGATTACGTTGAGCGAAATCGAATGCCGTTTGAATTTTGAAAATCGGCCCGTTAGATCTCGAGATATCGAGGGGGGGGGGGGGGTCGTAAACAGCCCCCCTGCCACTAATAGGGGTAGCCAGGAGCCTGCCACTAATAGGGTTAATTACGCTCATTTTCAACTCCCTAATAATTGACGAACATCAGCGGGTATTCATTAGACGGAAGGACGGTGCAGTATGTGCGCCGCAAAATTGTCATTCGTTTACTGGCTGTAGGTTCCGCGTTTTGATTTGGCTCATATAGCAGCTAATATTCAGCACTAGGTATGCTTGAAATCCGGGATATCCGTTTCAGCATTAATGCAAAGCGCAAAGTGTAGTGCCTACAAAGTATCAGCTGCGTTGCAGGTTGCTGCGAAGATACATTTAAGTAATTATTTGACCTTCATTAATGGAAGGTCAAAAGTCTCCGATTCCTCCAGCGTTCTACAGCATATAATGATCGTTATTAACGCAGTCTAACCGCGTGCACTGTGATTGTGATTTGTGCATCGCAGCGCAATTTACCCAGCAATTAGGTACTGCATTACAAATTATTGAGTTTTCTTTAAAAAAAAAGAAGCGAACCATTAGCAGACCAAAAACTGAGGATTTTGCTTAATTGCAATAGCTTCATTTCCTTGATGAAGGTCAAAGAAACACCCCTTCAATTACATTCTGACCAAAGCAGATCGCAGGCCGCACAGCGACAATTTACCTCGTGACATCTGATAATCCAATCAGTTCCATAGCCCTTACTCCGTGCAATTGTTCTGAAAGGGGCTGGCTCGACGGCAATTATTCATTGCCTATCTATTTTATGTTTATTCTTGCTCACATCAATTAAAAGTTAACTCGTTCAAAGATATCAACTGTAATTAATGCTCATCGTCGCGATGCTAGACCTGTGGAATGGCTTAACCTTCCAGGCGGTGGGGGGGGCATTTTTTGCCGCCCCCCCTTTAGTTTTTCGATACCTATATCTCCAGAACCGCTGCGCCGATCGTCACCAAACTTTCAGTAACCTCCAGTGAATAGCTATTGCACATTGTGACTAAAAAAAATTCCAAAGGCTATGATAGGTTGGCCGCTAATGACGTCAGTATGACGTCATTTCTGCCATTTTCGACCCAAAAAAGGTTTCGCGGGAAGAGCTGTCAGGCCTACAGCTTTAGAGATACAGAAAAAAATGTTTCAGACATAAAAGGTGTAGAATTAAGAGGGCTACTAAACTGCTATCTCGGATTTTTGAAAGTTTTGGATTTTAAACACCAAAAATAAAAAATAGATTTTTTGAATATAATAGCCAAAAAATCCAAAAAGTTTTTTTGAATTTCGAAAAAAACGAAATACATGTGATAGTACCTACCGTCTCCTATCTACATACCAAATTTGAGATCGATACCTCTTTTTTGGCCAAGTTATAGCGAAAAAACTTCAAAATTGATGACGTCAAATTTTCAAACTCAATTTTTTGCAATTCTAGACCGCGTAGCGCAAAACAAAGACCACCATTAGGCTCCCCGTGACGAGCTGCATCGAATCAATACCCATTTTAATCAAAACTATCAACTTTGAAATTTGACCTTTTTTTACCTGACCTTGACCTGACCTCCACCAGAAAGTAACCTAAACCGTACCTGATGGTCTTATAACCAACACCATTGAGTTGGAAATGAAAAAATTGGCCATAAAACATGCATCGCACAACCTTAGTAAAATTCGGTTCATGTGGTGACCCTTGGCGACCTGACCTGTGACCTGACCTGGTATGACCAGTGATCTCTAATAGCAACATATGTACTAGAAAACTGACGCGCTATCGCTGATTTTCGACAAAATGCGTTTTACTCGATGTTATAGCGCTGTCCCTAGAAGACCCGTGAACGGTGTAACATTTTATCTTTGACCTGACCTGTGACGTCATCGGTGACCCCGAGGTCAATGAAATTTGGTTTCCTTCAACAAATTTGACAGGGCTATGCTATCGAAAGCCGTTTGAATTTTCCAGATCGGTCCAGTAGTTTCAGAGATACGGGGGGGGGGGGCAAAAAATGCCCCCCCCCCATCGCGCGGAAGGTGGCCGGGAGGCCCACCGCCTGCCGGGTTAAAGACATGATGTGGAGTTTAAAGTGTAAAAAAAAACTCGAAATAAACTTTATCCACCCGGTTCGTTAGTTGGTTGGAGCTTTCGTTCGATGTATTTGCATATTTTCGTTACTCGTCAGCAATCGTATCGTAAAAACTTCACTCATATCAAATCATTCAATGAACGATTTGATATGACCGAAATTCTTAGGGTATTATTGCGGACGAAGATGTCTAATTATAATCGACAGACTGTATGCCTTACAGGTTGTATGTCTACGGATGAAACTTCATGTGAGACGGTTATGGGCTATCAGCTTCAAAATTAACTGCATGTGTAAAATGGATCACTATTAGTCATTGCTAATATACTTCTGCATATAACTTCGTCAGAATCGGGCCCAAGACACCATACTGACATGACCAGTAAGATCCCTCAGACTGGACATCACCAGACGTCAGTGGCTCATCAGATCGGCCCGATACCGAGAGCATCCATCGACACCGCGTGTCCTATCGAGGGCTACGGTCTTCAGACACTCACGGATGTCACCGGCCGCCGTGACGTCATCCGAGGCAGCTGCGTGACGTCACCGGGAGATCAGCGCGCCTCCCGGAGGTATCGAGTTACACCGGAGGCGACACAACTATAGTGTGTAGTATTACTCGTCCGAAAAACCAACACCCGATACTTTTGTGTATTGTTTCTGAAGAAAAAACGGACACCGAACTAGGCTTGCGACACCAAAAAGGACACCAAACGACACGAAAATAACGCACCCGGCAACAGAGGAGCCCATACCACACGCCCCCAAGAAACTGTGCACTCGCGTTCAGGCGCGCCTCGCACCAACTAGCTCTGTTGCAAGCGTTCACCCGCACCTCACCCTCGCATCTCTCGATTAAAAGTTCCATCCCACACAGCACTTCGCAGCGCTCGCTGTCACCCGCCCCACATTCACCAGCATGTGCCGAGTGACGGAAACTAACGCTCCGCCGTCGCCACTTTGGCTGGGTCACCAGTGTGATGAGATAGGCGTTTCCTGGAACATGAGGTGCAGCGCTAATAGCTTCCACCTACCCAACCCCATCCCTCTTCGAAAACACCTCCATCTTCGAAGGCAGTGGCGTCACTATTTGTGGCCGTTGCCCCCTCTTCGCCCTTCACCCTTCTTCAGCGCTGCCTACTTGTCTTTCTTTCCCGAGAGCAGACTGTTGTGCAGCTTGGTGACCACGGGCACCAGACACTCGCGCACCAGGACGCCGTTCTCGTCGAAGAAGGCGGCCACCGATCGCGTGACCGAGGCCTGCCGCTCGCGCTTGGACGACCCGTCCACGTACCGCACGGACAGGGTGTACTGGTCATCGAACCTGCCGGCAAAACAGAGGACGGTCAGTCGAGGGAAGGTCCTAAATCAACGGTAGGGGCCAGGGGGCTTGTGGGTGTTCAGAGGTCAGTCGCGGTACACAATGGGCATTGGAGATGCAATGTTAGGTGAACGCAAAAAACCGCATCAACGATCGAAATAAGTAGACTGCGAGGGAATTAACAGTACTGCATTGCTGAGCCGAAATAATTAGCTTTGCAAGTTTATAACGAAATAACGAAAAGGTCTTTAATTGGTTAACGATATCGAAACCTCAAAAACCCATGCTCGCACATCCTATCCGTTGCACCCCCTCTCCCCTCCTCACCATCCCGGATGCAATCAAAACACGGGAGAGTAGCGGTGGTAAAGTGCGGGGATCGGGAACACCCCTCTCCGGAGCTCTCTGTGACTGGTCATGTCCACTCTATAGCTGTCATGACTCGAATGGCGGACACCGGGCACGTCCGGAGCCCAAACGGCAGCTTTAGGGCGCAGTGGACGCGATTCGCTCATCTCAGACGCACGTGACCCGCCGCGTGGCCGACGAGAGGCAGAGATCGGAGATCAGAAATCTGAGCGACAGAATATAGGGAGCTGAACGACCCCACGACGATGAAAATCAGACACGGAAGGAGGGTTTCGTCATCACCATTTCAGCAACAAATCCAAACTAAATCGGCATGCCAAACATCTGCGATGCGTAGATATAAAATGTACGGTAGCAAAAATAAAGGTGACAAACGTGCCGACAAACGTCAGTCTTGCTGCCTTGTTATCGACGAGTCCTGGCGTAAACCACATTCTAGCAAAGTTCACGCAGTTCGCTTACATGAATGGATACGAACGTTTCGTGGCAATTCGCAGTTGCCAGTACTTAAAGTGATGATCATTAAGCAAAATAAATGGAAAAGTAGCACACAATACGGCAGCTGAAACAGCCAAAGTCCTATTTGAGGCACCTTATATTCCAAACACGTAGGGTTTTATGGCCACCACAAGCGCTGAATGCAATTTATGTGCCTGGCGCACGCAATAATGAAGGAACGGCACGGATCCAATCAATAATGGATTCTCAAACCAAAGTTTGTCAGCCAATGAGGAGGCAAGCTCCTTCCCGGACCGATTGGTCAACAGACTACAATTATTTATAGAGCCGCCACCAATGTTTTTAAGGTGTAATGTCGTTTGTAACCCCTCATGCAAACTGCCCTCTATGTATGCTGTTCTTGCGAGAACAAGTTCGACGAACAAGTCAGCAAGTACAATACCTGCATGCGACATGAAACAGTGAAAACATTTCGGTAGAGGGTGACACTGGCAGGGCACAAGCATTGACCTGGCGCAGATGACCCGTCACCCGACCGACCCGCGCCGAGCCCCTCGACGGAAGGTCACAGGTCACTGCCGTCCATCGCCGAGGACATGCGTCATACGCCGCCGCCGCCGACGGCTCAGCATTATCGACGGCACCAATAATCGGCCTAGTCGCAGCCAATCCTCCTCTTCCCATTGGGAGCGGGTCGGGCCTAGTCGGGCCAAGTCAAGTCTGATCAGGTCAGGTAAAGTAGGGTCAGATCAGATCGGGTCGGGTCGGGTCGGGTCGGGTCGGATCGAGTCAGGTCACATCGGGTCTCCTCCTCTATCAGCCGTCGCCCGTGCAGTGGCCTGGTGCATTTCGTTCACGGACCACGGCTGACGTGAGGCCGCGCTCAGGGAGGGGGCGCTCTAACCCAGCGGACTCGAGCGGTACGACGGAATACCCCCATCAACAGCGACACGAGGCTGTTTCAGCGAGTGAGGACAGCGAGAGAACACCAAAGCGGACGGCGTGTCGGCCAAACGGTCAGATACCTCCTAGCCAGAGCGTAGGAGGGATCCCGGAACTTGTTCCCCTCCAGCAAACCGAGTCAAATCGGCCAACGTCGGTCGAGTTGCCGCCCCATAGAGCAATGCCATCAGGCGATCAACGATAGAGCAATTAACAGGAGTCGCCGCTAGCGAGACAGTAAACACTCCGGTGGTTGAGGCTAGACGAAGCCGGACACTGGTCATGATCTGATCGGGCCAGGGACGGGCCGAGGTCCGATCACGGCCCACCTAACGGCGACATGTCCGGCCAAACGGGGTCACCGCTGCAAATAGCCGTATCACCGCCATCGAGTAATGGATTCAGATTAACAAGGACCGTCTAATTAATAACACAACTGGACCGCCATCACGGAGCATATTTCAGATCGACTGATTCATACCTGACACAATGTGCCGGTGTTAAACAAGGCATGAAATGCGGCATGTTGTAAAATTTACCAGGGGCTACGGTCTGTCCCATGAAATAGCACGACCGCGAGGTCGCAATGTCAGCTACCGAGGATCACACGCGCCACATTTCGCCAGCAGTGGGACCACGGTCGCCGGGCGACACAGCTGGCCCGCCGCCGGCCTCATTTGCGTAATCCCAGACTAATCAGCATGTTCACGGATGGCCGCCGGCACAGTGAATCACGGCCCGTCCCGGTCGGCACGCTTATTAACCATAAATCACGACCACGCCGCCGGCACGTATTACCGTGATTGTGATAGTGCCCGGCGCGTGACACTATTTACCGACTGCACATGAATGTGAGGACGTGACGGCAAAAAATCATAACCAAAGAAAGGATTTCTGAGGGATAAAAACTTCTGCGTACCACTTCAAAGGTCACCATAGGCCGACAGCGTCCAGCCCCTTCCCCGATATCCAGCCCCGGGAGTCAATTGGCGCCGAAACTGCAGCGTTATCGACGGTCCAGCTCGGGCCCATCCAATCTCCGCACCATGGGCTCTGCGCTCAAACTGAGCGCTCGGCCACCACTGCCCGCCGCTCGCTGATAAAGACTCCGCTGGCAGCCCACGTCACCCCAGCCGATCCGATCAAACGCTTCACCTATTCTCCGCGGCCGGATAAAAGACCGGCTGAGCCAGGCGGCGGGCTGCGGGCCAAGGAGCACGCCCAGACGCAGAGACGAGTTTCCGCTGACAGGACATGGCGATACGCGTGGCAGAGTCAAGGAGAATAGAAGAGGAAAGGGGATGAAAGGAAGGGCGACGGGAGATGAAAGTGGGCGGCAGAAATGCAGAAGAGAGCACCCGAGATGACAGCCCATATGAGTACAGGGTGTCCCATAAGTTCGTTCTCACCTTATATTTGCATGTAAAACAGAGTACATTGCGTTTTGATATGTTTATAAACCCTCAATGTGCTCCCCATTTCATAGGCAAACACATGAATACATGCTGCGACATGCCAACCGGCATGTTTGGCAGCATAGCAGGCTTGAAGTTAGCCCAGACTGACTTGGCATGCGCCGTGAGCTCCTCAATGCTGGAACACCGCTTAGCTTCGACGAGCCTCGATTTCAATATTCCCAACACATTTTTATGAAATTTGGATCCGATGAGTTGGCTGGGATGTGATCTTGCCACACACGCCTATCACAGTCTCCTGGCACTGCTTCTAAGCTTTGCTTGACCTGTGCACTGATGCACTGTCTTGCTTGAAGATGGGCCTACGACCTTCCGTATGCCATTTTCTCCTAAAAAAGGTGGTCATACTTGCGGTTCGAGTTAAGCTAGAAAACTGAAACTCCTAGTAGATCTTCTTGGAGAAGCATTCTGCGTCCCAAGACTGTTTCTGGAGTATCAATCGCAACGTGATCAGTGTCTGGACGCATATTACCCCACATTACCGTGACCCTGGCCTTTTGCATAGGAATAAAGCGGGGTGACATAAAAGCCTTTTCCGTCGCCCATATGGGACCGTTTTGGGGTTTGGACCGGTGTTTTATCTCGAGCACGGACTAGGTAGTCCAGATGACCACATTGATGTCACCGGCCCTCCAGTTTTTTTAGCCTCAGGCATAACGAAACACATGTTTGGCCATTTTAAGACGTTTTTGGCTGTTTTGAGCCCTCCGGTAAGTAGAGCTGAAGTCACCTTGAGTTAGGTACCCCGAAATGATACTCTTAGACAGCTGGTAATGCATCCTGAAAAGCCTGTTTACCAACTTTCTAACGCTAAGACCTTTTTGACGGCCATTTTGGCGCCACACAGTTTTGGCCACATGGCTCACTCGTGAAAGCTGACAAAAAAGGGCATAAACTTGCAACGATTGACTCCCGACAAATCATCGGCGTCACTTGTTGACTGTGCGTCCAGTTAGCGACAGACCTTGGCTACACACTGGATGACCTCAATCACCCTCAACCGTCGTGAATGGCCCAGTGCGGACTAAATACCGAGGCGTTCCCGTATCGGAGACCTCTATGTTGCGGCATAAGCCGTCTCCACAGGAAGTGAACTCTCTGGCAAAAAATATTTTGCCTAGACGAATTAGTTACCGTGGAGCACATTCACAGTTGCCATGGCAACCCCAAAAGCTCAGTTACATAATAAATTAAGCGAGGCTTTAAATAAGAGAGCCTCTAAAAGAAAAATTTAGGTGAGAAGGAACTTATGGGACACCCTGTAGTTTGAGTGAGTGAGTGAGTGAGTGAGTGAGTGAGTGAGTGAGCGAGAGCGAGAAGCGAGAGCGAGAGCGAGAGCGAGAGCGAGAGAGAGAGAGAGAGAGAGAGAGAGAGAGAGAGAGAGAGAGAGAGAGAGAGAGGAGAGAGAGAGAGAGGAAAAGAAACCAGAGCACAGAAGAGAAAACAGGACAGCAAAGAAAAAGAGAAGGAGGTGGAAAATAGAGCCCACCGAAGTGAGTGGTGGTGAAGGCGGCGGCGGAGGAAGGGGGAGGGAGTCATCCGACGAGCACTCAGTCATTCCCTGGCCTTTTCATTGCCGCCATCCGAGCAAATAATGCCCCTTCATCACACGTTCCAGCGGCAGCCAAGAACGACGCTGGCAGGCCCGGGCCCAGGGCCCGCTTAACGGGGCGAACGTAAAGCGGTCACAATGCCTGGTAAAGTCCATCGACCAGCCGTAAAGCGAATCTCGCTAAGCGTTTGGCGACAGCATGAATAGCTCCCATGAGCACCCAACTCGATAATACGGGGAGGAGTATCAGTATCATCCCCCGAGGATAAATCGGTCGACCACACAGTCACCAGATCGACACCCCATGACCACCCTTTCCCTGCCCTCACCTGGGACCGCTCACGCCTCCAGGGGCCATTACAAAATGAAAATGGCTGTCCACGCCGTTCATTGACGCTCGGCGCCGGAACAAACAGGGTGCTTGCCAGCGGGCCGCGACGGTCGGACGTCGGGGGCAAACACATCAGAGGATGAGGCGGCACACGACGGCTGGTGGTGTCACCTGACACGGGTGTCACCGTGTCAGACACCTGCTGGGTGTCAGATCACGAGTGCTAGACACCTGCTGGGTGTCGGCCCCATGACCGACTCGGGTGAGGACAGCGGGCACAATGGACGAGGGCGAATGGTACTCGGAAATGAGAAGCGAAGCGAGCTCCTGAATGAATAGAAAAAGAGCAAGAGACTATGAAATGCAAGGAGTAGGCTGTGGCTGTGCTATCCACTACCAAAGACCAAAGATCCATTGTCAAACGGATATGGGGAGATGAGATGCATGCCCTACATTCGCCATGAAACATTTTGATGCTTCCATCAGTCAGACGGCAAACGGAACCATGCATCGGAGGATAACTTACGACGAAACAGCGTGTCTCGTCTATTTTGACGAGCAATACGCCTGCCATTCACTTCCCGTGGAAGACACCTGTGCAATAAAGCCAACAATAAAGTCGAGATCAGGGTATATTGAATTAGGTCGAGATGACATTTACCTGCACCCAACATTCGACACACCAGTTACCGAAACGCGGCATCTCGACCTCATCTCGCCAAATGAGACGCCATATCGCCTAGCACGTGACATCTATTCCGCTCGTCTCCGCGGGTCTAATCCAATTCGGCGCCGGTCGCGCAGACACGGGCGCTGTATGATGGATGTCGCCTACAGGAGGTTACCCGGAACGACACACGGGCACGGTCTCAGTTCCTGTCAGAAGTTCCCGGAAGTCCGTCCAGCTTCCGGGCCGGATCGCACTCGGAAACGGCTCACGCTTCGAGTAAAGGGATGGCGACGTTCTGATGTAAAATAGTCGAGGCTGCATTCGTGGAATATTGTCTGGTTAGTGAATGAGCGGCACCCTAAGTTGAAAGAATATTCTCACCCTTCACTTAGGTCAATCAAATTTCGATAAATTTACTATGTACTAGATTTCAGACAATGAACTTGTTACCCTCCTCAGCAGAGCACCAACAAATATAAGCACAAGTACGCAACAGTTCCGAGCACTCATTTTATGCTTATATATTTCAGATACTTCAGCACTGCACTGGTAACAACTGCATAATACAACTTGTATAAGGCATGCTGTATGCAGCCTCAAGCAAAGACGTATGATATCAGGTCATGGAACTCCTGCAATGGATTTCCTAGCGTGCCCGAAACTTTGACTACTTCGCTTCGAGTTTATGGACTGTTGTGACCCGATGGTCACAACCCGATGTCTCAAAGTTTCACACGCAAGCACACATTGAGACACGACAGATAAAAGCGGCCAGCCTCTCCACAAGTTCGACTTCATTCTAGATACCAATCAAGGAAGTTGGTCTGCCGGCATGCGATGCTCATGCTCTGGAGAAGACGAACTTCGAACGAGAGAACTCTCAACAAACTGCAAGGGTATCAAACTGTTCTTACAGTTGCATTTGACACGGGCCCTTGCTAAGCGGGCCCGCATTGCAATGACCATGATTACCTGAATGTTCAAACCAATATACCATTATGCTCAACCACGCTTCCACCAGAACCAGACTGCAGCCTTGAATTTTAACCAAACTTGCACGAAACATAAAAAGGGACCTATGGGTCCAAAGCAAAAATAAAACAATAGTAAAATGTATGAGCGAGATCTTCAAAATAATCGCCATTTGCCGGCTATATAAAATGGCCGGCCCATTACCGGCGGAATGCAATTGAACACAACGGACGGCTGCAATAGCCCGGTGGAACGCGTCTCATATGTCTCTGGCGCGCCGCCGGTGCCGCCGGTGCTCGAAGCGTGCCCCGTGCTCCCGGTCTGCCCGGGAAATGGCCGGCCAGCCTGCAGCGGGACCCAATGACGGCGGCCCGGACGACGGCTGATCTTCTAAAAAGGTGCGCTCACCCGGCCCCAGTCGATATCTTGACCGCCGACTGTCACATTACTGATCCCCGGGGCTTGAACGCATTCTTCACAGGGCAAGACATAGACAATTTTGAGAGAGGCTGCACTCAGATAGCGCCAACTTGGCGACACCTCAATGGGGTCGCTAATGCCGGGCGGCAATGCCGAGCGGGAACTACTTCGGCGCTCGATACTGAACTTCCGGGTCAAAGGAATACGTTACACTATCAGAACCAGAACGACCGGCCCGGAAAGTTTCACGCCTTTGATCCCAGGACAGAGATAACCCGACGGAATCTGCAAGTCATTAACGAAATTCGGACAGAATGGTGCAGGCTTCACGCAGAGTGTAGTTTGAAAAATGACTCGAGTTGGAAGCGACTTTTTTGTGTGTTTTACAACGCAATGTTTGAATTGAGAATTGAGAGTTGAACTGAGACATTTATTGTACACATTAATCAATGACTTATTAGATTAGGCAATTATTGAGAGAATGGCTCATAACACTTGGGTCATTAAATGAATATTGCTCGGTATTCCAAGAGCCGACGGACCACTTGATAAGCCTACAATCCCATGATGCATCCACTCAAATCCCGGAAATCAATACAGCGATAACCGACGAACGTAATCTGCCCCACCCCAGCTCCAAAGTTCTGCCAACACCGTCCAGTCTAACCCCACTAACTGAGCTCACGTTCAATCTCCTGATAACGAACAAAATTCCAGCACATCCTGGTCATTGCCCAGCATCAGGCACAGCCGAGTTCATCTGAGCGCGATTTCCGTGAACGCCCGGGTCAATGTGAGCCATGGAGAGCTCGGGTTATAGCCCGTATGCTCGTACCAAGAATCGGTCGATAAGACGATAGTTGCCGGATAGGGTAAAAGGGCCGGACAGTCATGGCTGCACTTCCGTCACCTAAGGATGGTACTAGGTCACAATATACCCCACCTCGGCCTTGAGTCAGTAATGAATGGCTCTGCGGATCGCATACTGAGATGGACTAGTCAAAGAACAAGTCTGACCGACTTACCGTTTGAGTGAGGAGCTGACTTCCCACTTGGAGTCGGGGTCCACTCCGGCGGCATCCTTCTGCACGGCCACCAGGAAGATATTCTTCTCCACGTAGGTGGTGTACAGAGTCAGCACACCCATCAGCACGAAATACGAGCACACGCAGAAAATCAGCACCGGCCTGAAAACACACAGAGGGGAGACTTTGATTGCATCTGAATTGCATGACGGAGTGACGGACACACTATCGCACCTATCAGGAGTAAGAACAAGGTGAACAAAAACTCGTGGTCCCAACAATTCAGCATTTCAACAATTCAGCAGCCTAAACATGAACAGAGCTCCCCAGATCTATCCACTGTTCCCTGCGAACTCCTATCACACAGACACAGACACAGACACGGGCACAGCAGTGACGTTGGCGTTGCGCGGAGGCGGAGCGCGAAGAGAAACCACTCCACTCTGCACGAGCCGAATGACCGGCATCCATCGCCGCGCTGGCGGAGGATCCGTCTCAATCCGGCGACGGTCTCTGGCGAGCGCTCTCGGCGGTCGGCAAAGCCGGGGCAGGAGAGGGAGGGGCAGCACCGTCACCCAAACTTGGGCCAACTCGTTAGCTAGCTGCGATTTTCGCAGAGCTTTTCATTTGGCGCCGACCCAAAAAAGCCGTGTTTGTGGACCAATTCGACACGCACACGAAGCCCGAGGCGTCACGCCATTGCCGAAAACACAGGGATTAAGCGCGGTGTTTTACACGATTTTCTTTCAGAATACACATAAGTTATTGCTCGGATAAGGCGGTCGAATACCTAAGTGTTGAACCTAAGTGTTGGGTTAAAAAAATAAATGCAAAAATGTTTTGGAGATGTGTTATCAAGAAAAGTGCTACTGTCGTCATTCCAGAGCGCGTGTGATTTTTCACAATGCCATGTGTTAAGGTTTGAAAAATTAAACGACGCCCTGAACGATTGAAACAAAACGTTACGCCAGATAGGAGTGGCGGGGCCATACATCAAACATGACAGATCACCAGCCTCGGAGGCCATAGTTGGAGGACCGAGGAAGAGATCTAAACCGGAAGCTGATGACACACGACTCCGAATCCGATAAACGTTAAACCAGTATAGCGCCTTTTGGGGCGACTAACGGAGCGAGCGAGGGGGTGAGTCTTGCACGTGCGAAATTTCGAGGGGGTACCTCCAACTGACTTGTGCACGGCACCCTACTGACCGGTTTCTAGCGATGTGCCAAATTTGAGCACAATCGGCCCAGCCGTTCTCGAGATCTGGGAGCGGCACCCTGCACGTGCGCACGTGCAAAATGGGTCCCAACTGACTTGAGCACGGCACCCTACTAACTGGTCCCTAACCGTGTACCAAATTTGAGCGCCATCGGTCCAGCCGTTCTCGAGATCTGGAAACGACCCCTGCACGTGCGCACGTGCAGCAGCACCCCAACTCTGGCACATGGATATGCAGTGCCTAGTGGGTGCCTACCTACATGCCAACTTTCAGCGCAATCGGCCAAGTAGTTACCGAGATATTGCAACAATTACAAAACGGACACCTCTTCGTTTTGCACGTGGCACGTGTATAAGGGGTCACCCACATGCATCAGGAATAGTCCAATACTTGGTAGAAGGAATGAAGCTACCCTACAAAAATTACCGCGTGTAAATCGGTCAAGTGGTTGCTGAGATATAAGCCTCGCAAAAGCGTGACCACGGCCGGCCGGCCGGCCGGCCGGCCGGCCGGCCGGCCGCTCATACTCAGAAATTTCCGTTAATCTAAGGAAAGACTACGCTCGCTTCGCTCGCTCCGTAATCATGCGTCTCTCAGACCATTTAGGACTCATTTCTCTAAGCGCCACACTATGACAGCTCCAATAAATTCCCTGCGTGATGACCGATAACAGCTACTTCCTCAAAGTCCACAGTTCACGCAGACGCGTCTCAAATAGATCTGACCTCAGCCCTTCAGCATCCGGAGCGATAGGCCGCTCGTCCATCAGGCTTCCGGTGATCGACGACCGACGGACGGCCGACGAGACGCCCTATCTAATTTACCTCCAACGCCGGTATGTCCATGATAGACGGCCCTCAAATTCGCCGGTTTAATCAGCCCACCACGCCCGCGGCACCGCCGCCGGTGCTGTAACGTGTTCGAAATAACCGCCGCATTGAAAGCGGCCCAGTGTGAGCATTTATAGCCACATGGAGCGGGATAAGTCGCTCGGACCCCTGTCGAGTCGGTGCCGGCTCCGGTGCCGGTGCCGCGGTCGGCCGGATCGGGCCGATATTGAAGCCTGGCGCCGGCTCAGAAAAGTGGAGGTATTGCACTCGCTGCTCCAGCGTCGGCGGGCCACGGGAGACGAGCGGGGAGGGAGACGAGAGGAGGCACCGGAAACGAAATATTGCTGCCGAACCCGACAGCACACGTCAGAGCGGACATACGAGACAAGAAAACAACAGCAAATACGCCAAGTCTCAGTAAAAAATAATCTACAACCCACACAATGTACACGACGCGTACAACGGAAGCAATTCCCCAAATTCCCCATAGATTTTCGGACACAGCTCCGTTCATACACCCTCATCGAGCTAAACAAACACTCATTCCAGCCCGACAGGCCCACCGGGAGCCTGAAGCGTCTGTATGGAGACCAGCTCAGCCGATCCCCTGGGCACCGCCGCAACGAACAACAGGTAAAACCGGCATTCAGAAATAGCGAACAGTACTCTGGCATGGATAGCATAATGTCTGGCATAGATTATGGACTATATGTACATGTGATGTATGTATGTATGTATGTTGCCAAATGAACTTTCAAGATATCTTATCATGATCTTTTTGCCACTACCCCTACATATATTTCGAGAAAAAGTCGCACACCACGTCCAACGATGATATAAAAATGGACGTTAATGAGATATTGTGGACTTTTTACACATTTGCAGCTCTGAAAGTGTCACCCTATATTATCCACCAAACTGGGCAGCTTATAATTACGCTACGCCTAGTTATCGAGGCCACTGCCGCCGTCACCGCCCCCGGTCCTATGTCCGGTTAGCTGGCCATACATCACACGATATCGGCGTCGGCCACACGCAGCCGGTCCTGTCACCGAGCTGGCCCTGAGCTGGGCCGGTGGTAGGGAGCGGTCAGCGGCGGTCAGAATTGGTCCGAATTGGTCAGGATTGCTCGGCATTAGTCAGCAGGGGTCAGGATAGCCAGGGGTGGTCGAGATTGACCACTGCGATCAAGAGAGAGCAGAGGTGGATAGATTGATCAGAAATGACCCCAGTTAGTCAGCGCACTCACTGACGAGTCACGGAGCAAATGACCACATACGTCCCGAGCTGAGCGCGCAGCCCCGAGCCACTCCCGGCGCGGACCCCTGCGACCAATACCGGTCGGCGCGGCCGATCACATACCCCGACCGATCGGCGCTCGATACCGGCCGAGCGCGGTACCTGGACAATTACCAAATGCCACAGACGATTACCGTTTCAGCAGGGCGGAAATACACTCAGCGTGGCGGCAGTGGTGGCTGCGCGAGCCGTCCCAGCCCCGCCGCCCCGACCCAGCCGCTCCATAATGCCGGCCCGCGTGAGAACAATAACAGCGAGCCTGATTCAAGCACGCAGCACAAAGGCAAATGTGATATTCAATTTATGCAGCCTCGCAGACGAGCCAGCGGAAAATGCGCGGCTGTAAACGAACAAGAGTCTCTTGACGAAGAATGGCGCCGTAACGAAAAAAGAACCGGCTACAGGTATGCCAGCGAATAGGATAGCTGGCTTATAAATGCAAAACCATGCTGAAATAGAAGAGGCTCAGAAAATAACGAAGCGGGTTCTTATATAGAAATTAATCTCGACTTCTTTTGATGAAGCAAGACGACAAAGCTGGCATTTTTACCAGTCATCAGTGCGATATTCCGACACCATATCGACTATCGATAGATAATAAACATCCATAAAAATCCTCAATGAAATGGAAACCACACATTCGACGTCACAACTAGAGCGAACGGGCGAAAGGCGACACCTCGGCTTTGAGGTGGCGCGGAGAACCGCCGCATTATTCCGTCGGCCGCGGGGGAAGAGTCCGATCACAGAGAAGCTCGACAGTAGAATCCCGGCCCGGTTCAGACCCACCACACTTCAAAGGGACGGCGCCGGAACCCGAAATCCCGCCCGCCCCGGTCTCCACAGCTGGGATCAATCTGAGCGGCGGCCCGTGTCCGGTCGCGGCTCAGCCGGCGTACGTCAGAGGTGTGAAAGGGATCCAACGGGCGAGCCGCCGCGGCGCCAGACGAGAGCCATATGCCGCCCTAATGGACGGAGCGCAAACAGTCGACTGGAGGAGTTGTGAAACTCGGAGAAACATGTTTGCTTTGACTGAAGGAAGTAAAACAGAGGACGGTGACGTCATGCTTGATAACTATCTGTTTTCCACAAACAGCCCACTTCTTAATGAGATAAACAGTTAACTAAAGCAATGGTGAGGCGTTAAGTATACCCCGCTGCCAACGCACCCTTACACGCCGAAAAACAGACAAACGAGCGTCAGTTTGTTGAAAAAGTCAAACTTCCCGTAAAGCACGGTAATTTTGATTTTGTTTTCCACTGGCGAAACTTCGACACGATTTTTTTTTTCGCGTCAATAAAACCAACACTTTGCTGTCTGAGCCCGTTACGGTGTGACCAGTTGACCCCACCCGCTCCCCGACCCTACCACTGACTTCCCCACTTCTACCGGCCCGCCCCTCCGTGCGCCGGTCCTGAATAAGGCCACGTTCCATAATGTCCGAGCAGACCGGGGATTTTGGCTGTAATAACGGCACGCAGTGCCCCAGCGGCGGGGGGAGGGGGTAGCGGACCCCGCCGGCGTCAACAGGTCTGGCAACCCCAGTATAGTAAACGGGCCTGGCCGCGGCAGGTCCGGCATAGAAAGCTGAGCAGAGCACGCATGGATCGGGTTTCTCACGCCTACGTAGGGACGGGACAGTCGTTATTCCTGGACAGTAACTGCCAGCGCTGCCGTCACTGATTGCTTTGGCAAAATTGCGGTGTGCACTGTGAACACATTACCTAATGAAAAAAAAAACTTTCCAGCAGCCATCGATGCAGCATGCCAATACATGATTACTATGTAAGGTAGCAGGCAATAGGAAAACATATTGCCCAATGTGATGTCACCGTTTTCCGAGGGTGAAAACCGAAACATGCTTTGTTGCCCGCGAGAAGCTGAGGGCGAGTGGAGCGTGGAGCAGAGGGAGATTGGAAATTGTTAAAATTATCTACCCGATGTTAACACTGTACATATAAAGCTTCATCTATTTTACCACGGCTCTAAGACACCAACGTCACCGAGTTTGCTACCAAACAATCCAATCACCTGGTGGTTTGACGACAAGTGCTGTACCAGGTGCCGCCACCCCCCCCCCCCCTTCCCAGAGTGTCGTCCCTCCACACAATGTCGCTCACCCCTCCCGAGTGAGTCCCCCCCGGAGAGCGCGTCTCCCTCCGCTCTCACCTGGAGGCGGGGAACGGGTGCAGGAAGTCCCAGACGATGGCCAGGCCCGACAGGCCGACCGCCAGAGTGCAGATGGCCAGCCGCCAGTCCATCAGCCAGTGGCTCTCAGAGTACTTGTACTTGGTGAGCAGCGTCTGCGACGGCAGAGGGCGGGGCAGTCGCAAATATACTCGTATAGATGACGCGGCGATCGGCGGATGGGCAGCGATGTTACCGTACAGTTTCCGTGAGCATAGAATCACAGTGATAATAATTAACTGTAACGCTAACTTGAGTATAATCAAATCAGACGGTTTTAAAATGTCCTAAGGTAGACCAGTTGACTTCGCATGTGACTTTTTACAGTACACACCAGTGCCTACAAAGGCTCAATGAAAACAATACAATTTAGGAAATGACGCTACAAGCCTACACCCTTACCTCTTTGACAGCATCATCCAGAGCATTTTTCACAGCTGATCCATCCCACTTGTCGACCTTGATGGTGTCATCTTCCACTGCAGCAGGCTGAAAAAAAAATCAAAGTGGTTAGAAGAATTATCTCTTACTGGCATACTAATATATGCCAGTATCTTAAAGGGACCCTCCCACCTTCAAAAAAGTTAATGAATTGGCACGAAAGTGATGTCGCTCGGTTCAGAAAGAGCGAAAACGAATATCTACCAAATTTCATCGAAAAATATTCACCGGTTTTCAAGATATTAGACTTTTACTTTTGTTTACTTTTTGGGATCTCCGCTGTTCCTAGCAACTTTATTTGAAAGTGCGGCATTTGTTGCGCGCAATGCAGCATATACCACCGCGTGCTACGAAACGTTTTAGCAAAAGATTTAAAAATCGTTAGATCTCCGTTGACGTCACAAATTCTAAGGGGGCATACCACAGGGGAGCAATGCCGCTTCAACCCTATTGGACGTAGTGTCTAACGGTGGCGGCCATATTGCGCAGACCAGAAACCGGCTGCCGCCTGTGTTGAGGAATAGGGAATTCGGGACCTCGATTTACGTTTGCGGCCGCCATATCCGTTACGTTCAAGTTACGTAGATACGGAACCCGGCATCTTACGCAGAATTGAGTGGAGAACACGATCGTATCTTCAGAATTCCTCAAATTCACTCGCCTGACCTACATTTGCCCCGGCCGAGGGGGTTGATTGAACCCACCTCGCAAATGCACCGCTAATTAAACTTGAATTAAACGGTACAGTGGTCGTATGCGGCAAAGTATAATGCAGAGTGACTGGTAGGAACCCGCTGTAAGGGTCTCAGGTCAACCGGTGACCTCTGAGGTCAGGTCAAGTGATCTAAGGCACGACTTCGGTTTTTGGTAAATAACTTCGCCAAAAATGGCCGTAGAGCCGCAATTTTGGCATCATCGTGTTCAGCTAGCTCAGGCGCATCGAGTGATATACTTTTTGTTCGGGTCAGGTCAACTTAGGGTGTTGACCTCAGGTCAAGGTCAGGTCAGCACCCCCAGGTCACGAAGTTGGTCGAAAGAGGTCATGTCGCATATCATTCGATTCGGCAGGTCTTCCTGAGTCCATTGGTGGCTTTCCCGACTCGCTAGCTCAATTTGATCGGGAGTTATTGAAGAAAAATGGTGACCCTTGTGACGTCACGAATGACGTCACGCAAGGGCAACAATGCCAACATGAAGCATAGAACCTTGCAAAGAGTGCATGAAATCATGATTTTATATGCTTGAGATAGTTTCAGATCATTCTCGGCGCCAAAATAACAATTTTCATATTTCCCCATTGACTTATAAGGGTTTAACGTATTAGTTCCTTATAGCTGATGATTTCTTAGGATTTCATCTTGTTCTCCACTCAATTCTGCGTAAGATGCCGGGTTCCGTGTGCACATAGCTTGAGCGTAACGGATGCAGCGACCGCAAACGTAAATCGAGGTCCCGAATTCCCTATTCCCCAGCACAGGCGGCGGCCGCTTTCTGGTCTGCGCAACATGGCGGCACCGTTGGACACCATTTGGCGGCCGATGCGCATTCCACATTATAGAGTTCAGTGGGGCATACCAATGCACTAGCCCCTTAGAATCCGAAAACTGCAAGTTTGAAATTCCATATCTCCGAATTAAAGCATTTGTCGATGTTGTGAGTGCCCAAACCGGTATTTGCAGGCCATGGCCACCAATTTGGCTATCTCAACTCAAAACTAATGTTAAGGTGGGAGTGTCCCTTTAAGAATAAAAAAGCATGGACCATAGATAACATGATTCATGTTATCTTTGCATGGACTAATGGGCAATGTTATAGCTAGCTCTATTTTGCTCTAAATTACCTGTTTGTAAAACAGCATTTACCACAACAGACATGACTTTAAAACTTCCCATTCCTAATGCTGACTAATTCCATTTCACATACTCAATGAAAAACAATGAATATGAACAGGATACAACATTTTTGGGCTGCATGATGCCTCTCAGCTAGCAATTATTCTCCTGTTCTTATCAGTCATCACTTCAGTGTATATGTAAAAAAGATCTTGGTCATTATTCCTATTGTCTGCCCAATGTCCTATTTGTACTCCATATTTTTAGGCCACAGAATTAATATCAATAATAATATGTTAACATAAAACACAGTGATCTGCAAGGGGGGGGGGGCATCTCAAATTGTTCAAAGCAGTAATAAAATGATCATTTTATTCTTTCATTTCTTCCCCTTTATACTTTTCTTCTATAGCACCTATGCTAAAAACAAATAATTAAGGGATTTGTGCCCCAGCTTTCTTCTCTAACAGAAACGGAAAGTTGTTTGCTGCAATTCCACAGAGGCATGAAAAACATGGACAGCAGAGCAGTGTAGCCACCACGCGGCTCAGCAGAGTGCACAGTAAAAGCAGGTGCCTGCAAGCAGTTCAGAAATCAGAAGACAGCTGAATGTCATTTGGAAGCCTGTCATCATTATGGCCAATATAGTGAGAATTAATGATGGGGTGTGAAACAACCCATTCGCAACTGCTTTTACCATCCACAGTCCACCCTCAGCAGACAGGTCTGTGGGGCCTTGCCAAGGCCGCCTTGGTAATATCTGGATTGCATCAGCTGGCTGGCCAGCTGGTGATGTACGAAAGCCATCAATAAAGATATAGGTAAGCACGGTAGTAGATGGACAGATACCTACATAATACATGGCACTAATAGATAAATTATGGTTGGTTTGGGTTGAGCACCACATCCAGTGGACCAAGGCGCTAACCAGAACTCTCACTCTGTTACAAGCGGTCAGGTAGCGGCAATGCCACGTGCATTGCCCGGGAATCGAACCCGGATGGCCGAATCTAGAGGCAAGTATCTCACCCCTAGACCGGAATGCTCCCCAGAGAAATTAAGAGATAGATATTTAGCCTTTTAATCTAGCATTGATTTGCAGCATTGTTGATGCATTGCATTGCACTTGAATCACATAAATCCTTGTTGATCCACAATTGAAGTTAAAGGGACCCTCCCACTTTCAAAAAAGTTACCGTAAAACGGGGTGATAAGGGACAGTTTTGAGGTGTTTTGTTATATAACTCAAGAAGGGTTGGAGATAGAAGCATCAAATTGTCAGCATTTTATGTGGAATTTGGTGCTTTACATGCCTGCCACATTAAAGTTTTTAAGATTTATACCTGCATATTATTTTTTATTATTTTTCATCACTGTCCCTTAGCACCCCAATGTGGGGTGTTAAGGGACACCTATAGTATTCCAAGAAATGGTCATCAAATGCCCACAATTGGGGTGTGGAAGGGCACACAATTTATTTATTGAAATGTTTTGCATATTCTGTCACAAAACAAGTCAGGTTCATTCACCACTAATGACCTTTTTAGCCAATTACGTGTAATGCAGTTTACGCATGTGGAAAATGTGCTAATTGTAAGATAAACAGAACCAAAAAGTAGTCTTCTGTCATCAATAAAAACCCATGTTGAAGCTAGTCACTTGTCATTATGCTGCCCTCTTTGTTTTAGCCTTTTTATGATGACATCACATTTACCTACATCAGTCTCCATTGACCCGTCATTGTAAAAGAGAGTGTTGAGATGTTTTGTTACATAACTTAAGATGTGTTAGAGATAAAAGCATGAACTTGTCAGCATTTTATGTGGAATTTGGTGTTTTCCATTTCTACTTAATTAAATTATATTTAGATATTATTTTTTATTTTTTCTTCCCTGTCCCTTAGCACCCCACATCCACCTCAAAATATGCATGTATCCGGAAAAGAGGAAGAGGATGATGAATGAATGGGTGGATTTGCACAAGTTTTTCAGGAAACCTGTGCAATACATGTGACAATACACCTATGCATTCATTTTCCCTGTACACCCACTAGTTTATGTGGTACACACAGAGTTTTGGAGATGTTTCAATTTTGTGAAAATGTAGCATGATTTTCAAATCCATTTTTGAACCAAATCACTTGCATGAAAAACCATACCATTTTCTCCTATGGTCAAGAGCAAAACAGTGTCAACTACCACACTGAAGTTTTTATTGAACCTTCTCAAATTAGGAAGTTAATATGACTCAAAGTTTTTCCCATGCAACTGTCCCTTAACACCCCACTGTCCCTTAACACCCCATTTTACGGTAATGAATTGGCATGAAAGTGATGTCCCTCCGTTCAGAAAGAGCAAAAACGAATACCGTAAACCGGGGTGACAATGATACCCGGGGTGACTTTGATCATAGACCAATTTCGGGCCTCAAATGAGCATTTAGCTGCTGTGAACTGTATTTTCTATGCCAATGGTCAAATAAAGCAATGAAGCATTATAGCAGACACTTTGGGTCCCAGTTAGAATAATCATGTTCTTGTCACAGCTTGTTTTTTTGTTGTCATTGGCATGAAGTATAAATTCGCTAGCATCTCCAGCAAAAATAATGGTAAAGATGAGAAAGACCCAGATAAAGAAAGAGAAAGGAAAGGCTTAGATACTGATGATGGAGGATGAGCATTGAGCTGCTCTATCTCAGTGGTAATTGGAGCGTCAATGGGAAGTGAAAAAGACAATCAACTGGGAGGGGCATGAGCAGTGTGGCAATTGGTCCCACAGCCACCAGCAGACAAAGTGTGATGTAGAACAGGTAGCCTGTGGCTTAGGACATCTGTGGCTGTTACTTAATCTTGAAGCCAGATGTTAAAGTAGCTAATTTTGCTGCTTATAGCTCTGTAATGTGAGTTTAGACCCAGAGCATGCAACTTTGTTTTAATGCCTCAATGATTCATAGTTTTACTGTAAAACGTGTGAGTTTTTGTCAAGCAAAGCCTTTGATTTTATTCAAAACATGTAAGTTTATTACACAAGCCCCTTCCGAGGGCTCCTATGGCACACATAAGGTGATTTTAATGTAGTGATCATAGTCACCCCGACCTCTGGGTGAGAATGATCAATTTTTTGGTAAAAAAATAAAATATTTATGATAAATTTCAAGACATTTATTGTACTCAGTTAGATAGAGAATTGTCCAATTGGTATGATGAAACAGTTTCCAGAGTGAAATATCAAGTGATTATACAAGATATTGTACCAAACTGGTCAAAAGTGATACAAAGTCACCCTGGTTTACGGTATCTACCAAATTTCACCGAAAAATATTCACCGGTTTTCAAGATATTAGACTTTTACTTTTGTTTACTTTTTGGGATCGCCACTGTTCCTAGCGATTTTATTTGAAAGTGCGGCATTTGTTGCGCGCAAAGCAGCATATACCACCGCGTGCTACAAAACGTTTTACGGACGTTCGAAAGCCTGATGACGTCATCAGATTCCCGTAATGGTTAAGAGATAGGGACCACGCTGGTCCCACCCTGCAAGTAAAGGGAAGAAATTTCTTGAACACCATAAAGCTGCGGGGGTTGCGACCAGGATAAATGGTGGTTTCTGAGCCTGGCCGCAAACTTGACTATCTCAACTCAAAACTAATGTTAAGGTGGGAGGGTCCCTTTAACATGTCAATGAAACATTTAAAGTACCCGATGATACTTACCATTCTGCCCAAATGTGCCAAAACTTGCTTCAACTAAAACAAGCAGTTTCAAAATTATTGAACTAAGTAGGCGCCAGTTCAAGTTCAAGCTCAAGCTAGCAAAGTGGGGCTTTGCTTATGCTTATCTTGATCTTGCTTTACAATCACTTCAACTTGCACTAGCTTCAAATTCAAATATCCAGCAATTCAAGGTATAAGTTCTTCGCCAAACAGAAGAAATACAGTTTCAACAATCTGAATCCGTGATTTTGGATCTCCCTCGAGTTATATCAATATCAAATAAATAACTATACGACAAAAGTAACCAACCACGCCGGCGTGAAAAGTGAATGATGCAAGGCCATCTATAGATGATGCTGCGTCAGTTTTGTATCAAAAACACGTATACATTGGATTTGGTAGCAATAGAATCGGAGGAAATTTTTAGGAACTTTTCAATAACTTTTGGAAATTACTTCACATCTCCCTACTTTCCTTCATATTCTTCCGTTGTCACTTGTGTTTTGTTATATTTCATTATTAACATTTTTAATTTGAATGCACAAAATAGGTTGATATTGATTTCATTCAGGCGTTTATTTAGCCTTGCAATCGATTCCTCGCCTCTGGTGAAAAAAGATAAATTGTTTTCTCCAATATTTCCATCTATAAATACAAATAAAATCCCTATGGAACGTACATATTAATGGCGTTGATAAAAAAGGCAATGCATACCTTCTAAGATAACTTTCATAAAGCTGCCGACAAAAATGCATCAGGCTGTTTTCTCCACAGCGTGTAGTAAATAAAATGGTTTTCTCTGTTTTTAAAGCTTGAGATGGCTTTTTACCATTAAAAAATCACATGTTAAGTTATACTTCACCAATAATACAAACATAGCCCATCGACTCCTATAATAGGAACGAATTTATCCCGTATTTGTAACGCATTTGCAGTAAGCTGGCTGATCATCGCTGATGTGCAGTGTTTTTGGAGCATGTTATCAGAAATGTTCTTGCGCTTGATAAAAAATAACGCTACGAACAAGCTACGAAAGACTTGAAATAAGATTATTGTAAAAAATAATACAACTGTTAATAATATTTTGCAAACTTTCAATGAAAGGAAGCCAAATTTGCCAAGAACCAACGATGAATGTCGATCGTTTTTAGTACTACATTTCTTTTGCATTGTTATGGATGTTCGTCAGAGTGACCTTGAGGTGTTGAGTCACTGTTTTGGATTATTGCGTTGTGCGCAAGTTGTGCGCCTTTGTGAAGGTGAGCGTGAAATTATCGTTATTCGCGGTCGAAAATTAGTTCAAGAGGACAGCCTGACAGTTCTCCTTTTTACACTCTGCTCTGCGCATCGTTGTGGTGGTCACCATGAAGTGGCAATACAAAGAAGAACACCCGTTTGAGAAGAGACGGGCTGAGGGCGATAAAATAAGAAAGAAGTATCCTGACAGAGTTCCTGTAAGTACCTATTCATTCTGCTCGTTTCTGTAATTTTTGTAGTTTGCTTTTTAAGTGCTATTCACGACGACAGGCACGTAGCCAGGATTTTGCTCAGGGAGGGGCCACAGGTCTTGGATCTCGGCCTAGTCTCGTAGGTAGGTACCTACCAGTACAGCCCACCGCTAAAGTAATGTAGGGTTTTACCAATCTCAACAGTTGGCTTTGACTGGCGATTGTTTAATGCAGAGAGATCGAAAAGAAGATGTCAATAGCTTAACCCGCGCACCGACGGGGGGGGGGGGGCCCCCCTGAGGTTTTTCGCGAATAGCGGGAAAACCGCGGCGCGTAGCGCCGCGAAATTTGGTATGACTATTCCCTTATCAATTTTACACATGGTGTGCAAGTTTGAACCTCCTACCTTTCAAGGTCAGGTCACCAGGTCACTTTGAATGACCCAACCTCAAGTCACTTTTTTGCAACTTTGTCACCGTGCCAGAGCTACAGTAGATGTCGGAGGCCTTTGAAAGTCGCAGGATGTTATTAGGTCATTAGTAGCTACAATTTGTATATCTCGGAATTTTGATATCGGTGACCTAAGGTCAGGTCAATTTCGCGACCTCCCCATTATAAGTCAATGGGGGAAAAATCAGCTCCCTGTTTTTACCACTAAAACGGGTCGGAATGGCCCCATATACCATACATGACTTCATAGACGATCAACCTTCACTACCTTGAGGTCTGTTTTGCTGTTGGGCAGCTGTGAGGTCATGTGACGTCATCAAAGGTCACCAAAGGTTTTTGGCCAATAACTCCGTACAGGAACAAGATACAGACGCGTGGATGGTCTCATTGTGTTCAGCTCGTCAAGACGCATCGAATGATATACATGATGACCTCGAGGTCACGTGACCTGAGGTCAACCTTTGACCTTGACCTTTCGAGGTCAACATATATATCATTCGATGCGGATTGACGAGAGGATCACGATGATGCCCTTAGTTTGTTCCTATCTTGACTAATTCGAAAGTTATTCGAGAAAAACTCTCCATATTTAGCGCCGCCATTTTGACTTTTTCGACCCCTGTGACGTCATCTTTGACCTGACCTGAAAATGACCTTAGTAAAAATTGTAGATCTTGACCGTGCGTATCCGATGCCGTTTACCGCTTGTCGCTATCTTGCTTCGTTCTCGAGATCTCAGGGGGGGCGGTCATCCGCCCCCCCCCGTCGGTACTAAGTTGGCGCAGACCCCCGTCGGTGCGCGGGTTAAGTTCCAGCTGCAAGGGTGACAATACATATAAGCTACATTCAAAGTTTCATTGTAGTCTGGCTAATTGTTCCTAAGCTTCAGAAGCAGAACATACCCATGACTGAAGTCTGAAACCCCACATTACTTCTGCTGTGGACTGTACCTACTTCAAAAGGAAGATTCCTTGGATTTGGCCCACTATTTTTGGGGTATGGTGCAGCTGTTTTATTTGTTTTTATCTTTTATTTAATTTTAGTTTATTTTTCGCTTTTAGGGGTGGCATGGCCCCTATGCCCCCCCCCCCGCCCCCTGGCTACGTCCCTGATTCATGATGAATAATCTGTTGACTTCAACATGGTATCTGATAGCTACCAAATTCATGATTGATCCATGCACTGCTCATTGAGAACGCGACCAACAGGCCAAGTGGCCTACAGAATTTTCAAATATGTTATGGTATGGTTATGGTATGGACATTTGGCATTTGGGACTTGTAGATGTATGGCCAAAGTTGTGAATTGAAATTGAAATCAAAATATCCATGGCATTTTAGGGGAGGGCACACTGTATCATTTAGATCAAGATCATATCATAGTCGGCATAGATTGACTTTAGCAGTTGCTAGTTAGTGTGTTCTGCAGTCCCAATAAACAAATAACAATTGGCTTAAGGTGTTGCATTGTGAATAGCTTGAGCTTACAAAATCCCTGTCTTGGTCTACTCCCAGGTCATTGTGGAGAAGGCCCCTAAGGCAAGGATTGGAGACCTGGACAAGAAGAAGTACCTGGTGCCATCAGACCTGACTGTGGGCCAGTTCTACTTCCTCATCAGGAAGCGGATCCACCTGCGGCCAGAGGACGCCCTCTTCTTTTTTGTCAACAATGTGATCCCTCCGACCTCAGCGACCATGGGCACGCTATACCAGGTCAGTGGGAGGCTGGGCAGTCAGCCTTTACAGAACTTGCAGTCAACCTGTATGGAATGGATGTTTCATATGGATGCTGAAATATCTGTGTGTAATGTGACACTGACATTTGATAAGAACCTGTTCTCAGGGATGCTGGTCATTGTTAGGACACTTCCAACATCTATGGTTATGTTTGTGACTTATACTTATTGCCTGTATTTCCAATAATAGCTCTTGGAGTTCCTATCAGCAATAATGTTAAAGTTAAAAACTAAGGTTACATAAATGAGCACAAGACATACCATGTGTGATCCTTGTAAAGTTTCTTTCTGCTCACAATAATTTGAAATTGATCTTTTTGCTCTCCAAATTCGTTGCAAGAACCTCATCAGATTAAATTAGCAGTTGTTTCATATACCTATGTTTTCTACATCGTAATGTTGATGCCTACACTATATGAAGTTTACTTCCCAGTGTAGTAACAACGTCACCTTACTCCTATTTGCACGTTTCAGGAGCACCACGAGGAGGACTTTTTCCTGTACATCGCCTACAGCGACGAGAGCGTATACGGTCTGTAGATGGGCGGCGGGCTGTCCTCGCGCGCCTGCTCAGGAGAGGGGCCCCGCCCGGGGCGACCATGGCGGACGCACGCGGCGCGCACCGCGGTACTGCCGAGCCGCGCTCCCGGCTAGCTGCGGCGACACGGGCGCGCCGGAATGTTGTCAGACGTAGGCTTGCACAGGACCAGAAAAGCAAATATAAAAACGGTGATATTTGACCGCATTTGCGCGTTTCGGCTATTGTGTGGTTGATTTAGTTAGCGGCGTGTTTCTTTGTTGCGTGTTAGCGATAATGGGACACTTTGGGTTTCACGCCTTTGAATACTAGCTGTCACGTGTGTCCCGTTTTACGCCTGGGAGCCTGGGCGGTCATGATAATCCCGTGCGTTTATATATTAAGATAAGTGTGGGCTGTGGACACGGTGGGCGCTAATCCTAAGCTAGGTCCACGGAGCCGCGTTCTTTAGTTTATCGCGCGATAGTGCGGGACTCTGTATTCGATCGCCGCGGATCTTAACGGTAACTTAGCAAATTGTTGTCTTTCCGTGTGGCGTGACTGCGAGCTACGGATGGTGCCGACGGTCTACAGGTTGTCGGCTTGTTTTGCCAAGACAGCGTCGACGTTGGAATTTTCACGCACCCGGTGGATCCCTCCTGAACAATTGGCGCGGCTTCATGCGATGACTCTATTCCGTTGGCTCGAAAACCTATCAGTTCGCTTAGTTTATGTGATAAAATACACCTAAAAACACCACCCCGTGTGCTTTATTTTTTATTGTAGGTCGTGGCGCATCGTTCGGATAGGTGACTTGAGTGCAAGATAGGCGGGTATGACATGCTCACTCGTCTACAAATCATGGCGTGACCAGTGAAATTGTATCCTCAAGAATGCTTCGCAGTCGCACTATAATGACTGACATCAGACATGCTTTACACTTGACCATATTTAGACACGACACGTCCGACTGCCAAATGCATGACACGCGATGTTTTGCCTCCATAGGTCGCTCCGCATGAGACTGGAGAGCTCAGGCTTTGTTGGCATTGCTGGTTTTTGTGTGGATCCGGCGAGACAAAAACGCTGGCTCAGCCTGTGGGCTGTGGCCCGGGGCATGGCCATTCGATACTGGGGTTCGTGCTCTGTGGTAGGTATCGGATGTGAAAGGAAGTTTGATACACGACGAGTTCGCTGGCGATCGTTGACGCGACTGAGTCTCCAGCGCCACTTAGCGCTCACATGGCACCTGTTGAATCTCAATGTTAAAATCTGAAGCATTTTTTACCGCATTTACCACAGCCATGCTCCCGATCTCAGTGTATGTATTTCAGTAACGTGGCCAGCAGTATCTCACGTGATGCAATGCGCGTGGTGAATCTGGCGTGCGCGTACTGAATGTGGCGTGTGCATGTAAGGGTCCACGGGCGACTCAGTTCAGATGTCCCTGGGCTCCGTCCAAGGTCCCGCAGTATCCTCTCACAAAAACCTCGGCCCGCGCCGCGCCGCCAGCGCTGCCAAGGCCCGGAGCTGGGAGCGTGCTGAAACCTGCGCTCTGTGCCAGGAACCAGCTGATCCGGCCCGCCGTGTAAGCCAGCGGCCCGAGTGCACGATCAAGGTCGCCTCGGTGGCGCCGCCTGGGGTGTGCGGCCGGCAGCGTGAGAGGCACGGCAATGCACGGACGCACACAGGGATGGAGAAATATGCCGAGTTGGGGTTGCACGGGGGCAGCAAATCCGCCGCCGCCCTGGTGGTGACCTTGACCTCTGCCGTCTGGTGCGGCTCCAAAGCCAAGCCGGCGCAGCCGTCGTGGAATTGGGAAGACTCGTGCTACCCCAACTCGGCACAATTGTCCACCCCTGGACGCACAGGTGTTTCACTCCCTCTGTGGCTAAAGATAACACCAAATGTCGTGCACGTTTGTTCAGCGACTCTCTGTGCTCCGTTTGGGTGTCCATTCGGGGTCAATGCTCTTTACACTGACGTCGTAGCAGCTGACCCGCTTTTTCCTCATAAAACTGGGAGCTCAGCCGTCAGCGTCTGGTCCAGTGTGACGCAAGACTACGTCACCGTATGACGTAGATAGGTAGGCACGCGCTGACTCACCACCCGGTCTGACCAGTTTCAGCTACTCGTTTGGAGGCGGTAGATTCACGTTCAGAGGACCTTCGTGGGTCCGGATAACTGGTTGGGCTCGATCGTACAAGCTTTGACTCGTCCCGATGTGGAAAAAGGCCCGTCTTTGTCCTCGTATAGTACCGCAACTCAGATCTAATCATGGAACAAAATCGTGTGTACGGCGTTAACGCAGTATTTTCTATTGCGGTGAAGATATTTGAAAAGCTATTGATATAAATGTGCATTGTGCAGTAACTCGGTGTGGGTGTATTTGTAATCAGTAGGTACTGGCGGTACTGCATATCGGAACGTCCACCTCGGGCACGGCTTTGCGACTGAAATGTCCAGTTTTTTTTTCTCACATCAGGTGTATTAAGAAACAGTGCTTTTCAACACACGTACCTAGACCCTAGATACGTGGACACTAGAAAGGTACACATCTGAATACGATTTGTACACAAGTCATACCACAATGCTCGACCTAGATAGATGCTGGTGGAGACGAGAGCCACAACTTTCCACACTATGATGACCAATCGCTCTCCTCAAACACAGTCATTCAGATGATACACAGGATGCCTGTTAAACCACAACGCACAAAATGACATACTGTCCTCGTCTTCACCTACCTACCATAGTCTTTATGTACAACGCAAACGATGCCAGCTTCGCATCAAACTCGGCGAAAGTATGAACACATTCATTCGCTAGCACAAAGTAACAGGCATCTCGCTGGCATGTGCGAAGCTCACTTAAAAACCTCCAATGATGCCCAGAACTCTCAATCACATGCGGCACCAGTAGATTTTTACAGTTCTCACTCTGACCTGGCTGCTGCGCTCACTCACAGCAGCTCCAGATAGATGGGTCGGTTCAGCATCTGGCGCCGGTGGAGTCGTTTCATGGCCGCCATCGCCTCCGCCCCGCTGTTGAAGGCCACGCGCGCCTCGCTTGACGGCAAGCCGTGCTCGTTGTACCTGCGGATCACCTGTTCGGGCCGCACGCCGAAGTCGCCGAAAAAGTACAGGATGTCGTCGGCACTGGCGCGGAAAGGGATGTTGGTAACACTGAGAACGCAGCCGGGCCGGCCGAAGCCGTCCACCGGTCCGCCGCCGCCGCCGCCACCGCCCCGGCCGCCGCGCCCGCGACCACGTCCACGGGTCATGGGCGGCCGCCCGGGCCCGGGGAAGCCCCCGCCGCCGCGGCCGCCGCCGAACCGCGAGCCCCGGCCGCGCGGTGGGTAGCTCCCCTCCTCTCGGGGGTAGTCGCCCGACTCCTCGTCGTAGCCGTATCCGTCGTCGCCGTTGAAGTCGCCGCCGCCGCCGCCGCCGCCGCCGCCGGCGTCGTCCCCAATGGCGGCGCGGACCTCGTCACGAGAGACGGGGCGCACCGACAGCTCGGCCGTGCCCATGTACTGCTGGTCCTTGGTTAGCGCCCGCTCCGTCTCGGCCGGGTCGGCGAACTCGCAGTACGCCTCGCCGCTGGGGTTCTGGAACTCGTCCAGCAGCAGGTGTAACTGCTGCGGCAGCAGGCCCACGTCCGAGAAGAAGTCCACCACCATCGACTCCGTCACGGCCGGCGGCAGGCCCTTGATGTGCACGCACACCTGGCCGTTTGCAGAACGTCCCGGCGGCTTCTTGTCAGCTGGAGAGGGTGATGGTTCTGGCTTGTCTTTCACCGGCTCTGGTTTCTTTGGCGTCGAGTCCTGCCTCTTGAAAGCCTCCGTCGGAGCGTTTTTCGAAGGTGTGTCATCCTGTTTGGACTTGTTCTCGGCTGTCTCGGCCGGTTTCGAGTCGTCCTCCGTGCCGTTGTTGTCGTCCTGGCCGGAGTTTTGTTCATTTTCCTGCTCGCCGCCGTCCTGTGCAGAGTGTCGTCGGTGTCTGTCCCGGCCGCCGGAGTGCTCACGGTTGGGTCGGCGGTCGGGCGGCGGCCCGCCGGGTGGGCCGGGCCGGGGACCGCCCGCCAGCGGCGGCTGTCCCGGCATGCCGTGCTGGCCGCTGTCCGCAGCCGGCCCGATGATGGGCGGCTCGTGCAGCGTCTGGCGCGACCAGTCGTACTGCGACTTGGAGCTGAACATGAAGCGTAAGTTGCGCGCGCTGACCATGGAGCCAGTCAGCTGCTCGATGGCCGCCCCGGCCGTCTCAACAGAGTCGTATAACACATACCCCACACCCGTCCGCTTGCCGGTGCTGTTGCGCTGCAGCTCGAAGAACATCTCGACGAACGGGAAGTCGCGCATCAGGTGAATCATGTCCTCCGGCGTGGCGAAGTAGGAGACGTTCTCCATGCGCACGAACGGAGACGGTTCGTTACGCCTGCCGCCCTTCTCTCCGCCCTCGGCGTCCGGCGGACCGCCGCGGAACCCGGGCCCGAACGGCCGGCCGGGCGGACCGCCGTGGGGACCGGGCGGGCCTCCACGAGGACCAGGGGGACCTCCGTGAGGACCAGGAGGTCCCAGCAGGCCGGGCGGACCCGGAGGACCTCCAGGAGGGCCTCGCGGACCACCGGGCGGTCTGCGGCCGGGCGGACCGAACGGCTCCATGGGCGGCCCGCGCGGATCCTCGTAGCCCTCGTAGCTGTCGTCGAACTCATCGCCCTCGTAGGGATCGTTGTAGCCGTCCTCAGACATTTTCACGTCCTCCATCTCGTGCTCTGGCAGCTCGGCGTCCTCCATTTCGTGTTCGGGGATCTCATCCTCCGGGTCTTCTGGGTGGTTCATGCCCGAATCGAGCCGGGACATGGGGCTGTCACGGCCCATGGGCCCTCCGCCGCGGCCCATCGGACTCTCGCGGCCCATCGGGCTCATTCCGTGACCCATGAAACCTCCATCGCGGCCCATGGGACCTGCACCACGGCCCATCGGACCATCACGGCCCGGGAAGCCGCCGCCGAGACCCATGGGGCCTCCGCCGCGGCCCATCATGCCTCCTCCGCGACCCATAAACCCTCCGTCGCGGCCCATTGGTCCATCGCGACCCATCGGACCATCGCGACCCATGGGACCATCACGGCCCATAGGACCATCGCGGGCCATCGGACCATCACGACCCATCGGACCATCACGGCCCATTGGACCATCGCGGCCCATAGGACCATCACGACCCATCGGACCATCGCGGCCCATCGGTCCATCGCGACCCATCGGACCATCACGACCCATCGGACCATCACGACCCATTGGACCATCGCGGCCCATCGGTCCATCGCGGCCCATCGGACCATCGCGACCCATCGGACCATCGCGGCCCATTGGTCCATCGCGGCCCATCATGCCTCCGCCGCGGTCCATTCTGTCCATCAGGCCCGGCCTGCCCATCATATCTCTCGGACCAGACTGGTCCTGCTGCTCCATGCCCTTGGGTCGGCCCATCGCGTCGCCGGGGCCCTGCATCATGTCGGGCCGTCCCACGTCGCCCATCAGAGACGGCGGGCCACCGAACGCTCCGCCGCGTCCCAGCGACTCGGCTCGGTCCAGCAGGCCGCGCATGGGGCCGCGCGCGCCGGCTCCGAACATGCCCTTGTCACCGGCGGCCGAGTCACGGCCGGCGCCGCGGCCCATGGCGAACTCGCCCTCCATCGGGCTGTCGTGTCCAGTGGGCGGCGGGAAGCCGCGCGCGTGCTGATCGGACACGGGGCCGGGGCCGCCGCTGAACGGAGGGAAGGGCTGGTCGTGCGCGCCCGGCGGCGGCCGGCTGAACTCTGCCGGGCGGCGGTCACCGAACGGCGCCGGCTGGTCGCGGCCGGCGTCCAGCTCTGGCCGTCCCGTCTGCGGCCGCTCCAGCAGCCCGGTGGCGCGCATTGCCAGGCTGCGGCGGGCCATGGCCAGCTCCGGCGGCACGTCGTCGCCCCCGCGCACCGCCTGATCCGGCCCGGCCGACGGCGGTCCGCCGGTAGGGTGCTCCAGCAGACCCTTGCGCGGCTCCGGCACGCCCGGCTTGTCGTCTCGGCCGGGCGAGCGAGCGCGCGGCGGGCCGTTATCAGAAGAGTTCCGACGTGGCCCCATCTCGGGACGGTACGCGTCGATGGCCTTGGCGAACTCGGCGCCGTCCAGAGGAGTCACCACCACCCTAGCGGCGCGGATGAAGCTGCCGGACCGCTCCAGGCCCTTGAGTCGATCGTACATGGAGCGGAAGTTGACGTAGGCAGTGCCGGTGCGCCGGCCGCGCTCGTCGTGGATCATCTTGATGCCGCTCTGGCCGACGTAGATTCCTCGGAACAGGTCGCGCACGTCCCGGTAGGACGCGTGCATGGGCATGTTCCGCACGGCGACCGCGCCGCCGTCGTTCTGATCCTCGGACGGCGGCATGGCACGCACGCCCTCTGGTGGGGACGGTGCCGGCGGGGCGGCCGCTGCCGGTGGCGGCTGGTTCATGAAGCCGTTCGGGGGCACCCCAGGGCCGGACAGCATGGACTGAGAGCTGGTCGGCGGCGGCTGCTGTTGCTGCTGCTGCTGCTGCTGCTGCTGCTGCAGCTGGAGCTGTTGCTGCTGGAGCTGCTGCTGTTGTAGCTGCTGTTGTTGGAGCTGTTGCTGTTGCTGCTGCTGCTGCAGGTGATGCTGCAGCAGCAGCTGCTGCGGCTGCGGCTGCGGCGGAATCTGCGGCTGGTTGGGCGGCGGGTCCATGGGCAGACCCTTCTGGAAGCGCAGCAGTCTCTGCTGCAGCTGCGTCGGAGTCATGAGCGGCTGCTGCGGCTGTGCCGGCGCCGCGTCCCAGCGGTTCGGCTGGCTGGCCGGCGTGGTGATCATCCCCGATACCGGCGTCGGGCCGGCCTGAGATATCCCGGACGGCGTCGGACCGGCCTGAGACGTCCCGGACGGCGTCGGCGTGGAGGCGCCAGACGAGGAGGCCGCCAGCTGCTTATCCCGCTCGTTAGGCCGCTCGCCGAGCAGACTGCTACGCGCCGCCGGTGTCGGCAGTAGGCGCCCGGGCGGCTCGCTCCGCTCCTGAGAGCGGCTGTCCCTGCTGTCGCGGCTCTCCCTGCCGCCGCGGTCGCTGCGCCCGCCGCGGTCGCTCCGGTCTCGGTCTCGTCGCGACGAGCGGTCTCTGGACCTACTGCGGTCCCGGCGGCTGCGGTCCCGCCGGTCTCGGGACCGGGACCGCGAGCGGGACCGGTGCGAGCGCCGACTGCCCTTGTCGCGGTCGCGGCGGCTCCGGTCGCGGTCCCGAGAGCGGGAGCGGGACCGTCGGCGCGTGGAGCGGCCGGCGCTGCCACCGCGGTCCTGGAAACACACAGACAGACGGACAGTGTCAGAATAGACGGCGGATAAATTAGGGACCGATTTCGACACACAGATAGGCTGATGGACAACGCTAGATTGGTCTCGTGGCATACTGCAGACTGAACATACACGGGTGGATTTCCAACCAATATCAGGCAGTAGATAGGCAAGGAACCGAGTAGGGAAATGAATATCGAGTACTGAGTAGTATTTCAAACTTTTCCATTTCAACTGCTAAAACGCTGTTATTATGCATGAGATGACCAGATATTTACTTTTACCCGTCTTTAATTGGCCATGACCTGTTGACGGTGATACCAAATACCAAATACAAAATATACTTATGTTATGTAAAAAGATCCTAAACGTACAAAATACTAGTCACTCTTTGAATGCACCCATTCTGATCGAAGTGATGACTTCTGACTCTTGTTTTCTAGCATATTTTAACGGTTAATAGATCGAACCGTCTACATATATGCCCAATGTGTCATTTGAGCAGGTTGTTCACTATTTTAGGTATGACCCTCGAAACCCCGAAACTTTCGATTCCCATCATCGGTCTGGAACGTTTCACAGCAATTGCAATCACGACAATCTGAATTCGATGTGGAGTGATACGGCGCTTTGCGGATGATATTGGGAAATGACTGCACGCGTTGCTATGGGTGTTCACTGTTCATGCTTTAATGCTTAGCATATCGATGATCATGCTGTGTGTTACAACTCAATTACATCGTTTACAATATGCCGACCCGGACACGTCATAGTAATGCACTTTGCGGAATGCAGCTTCTAGCCCGACGGCACACGACCCATCCACCATAGACTACTGAGCGCATCGGCTCCCGCGCGCGGCCGGGTCCGTTGCTACTTATAGGCCGGCCGCTAGATAGCTCTGCACACGAGCGCACTGTAGGCCGGCAGCCTGAAAAAGCGCTAGAAATTCCCCCAAACTGACTGTCCGCAATATGAACAAAATAGGTATCATTTAATCCCAAATTGATCGAAAAATACGATTCCGATGCTAGTTTTGCCCTAAGATCAAAATTGAGGTCGTCAGATGTCACCAAACACAAGACAATTTAGACTCTCTATAGGCCACCACATTTACCGATTTTAATGATGAACTTAAGTGGTAATTTATTAGTTGACCAATCGCCGTTTTGAACGAAATTTCCTGTCAGACTAGTTCAGGGCACTGTTGTTCACTGTGCCAACATCATTCTGACATATCGCATCGCTTTTCTGCAAGATAAGCTAGCTGTTTGCAAGCAGCTGCAAGACGAAATTTAAAATCATATCCAATTTTTTAATTAGACTTTTATAAAAACGTTATTTCGAGCGGCTAAAAATGAACATTTCATACTAGCCTCTGATTACTCATCTTTTGTTCCATATAGGTGCTTTGCTGCTTTTCCCTGCTACTTTTCGAGATATGCGCCAGTAAACCACATGATGTAGGGGCAATTGTCACCTCGCCGCTCTACTGAAGGCCCGGCGCTCTTTAAAACGCTGGAAGTTGTGAAAAACAAACGCTTATAATCTAAATAAAATATATGTCCCTGAGCTCAGAATTGATCAACGCACACAATGCTGTCAACATTTCTGGGCCAAACTCAAAAATTCAGTCATTATTAACCCCTAAACACAAGTCAGTGATAATCAACAACAACTTGCTCTTTAGTTAGACTTTTTGAGAAATGTTACTTCGAGCCGTTAAAAATGGCCATGCCATACAAACCACCAATCATCTTTCTGTCATGCCCTACTCGCAATTTTTGCTAATGCCTGCTACTCTTCGAGGTCACGTGACCTCACCATTAAAAGTGAATGGGGAAATAAGGAAACTGTTGTTTTTGCGCATTTAATGATTTCAAACTATCTAAAGCACACGGAATCGTGATTTCGTGCACTCCTTGCAAGATCCGATGCTTTACTTTTGCATTTTTGACCTTCCGTGACGTCATTTATGACGTCACACCGGTCATAGGAGTTTCTCGTCAATAACTCATGATCAAATTGAGCCAGCGACTCGGGAAAGCCACCAATGGACTCGGGAAGACCTCCCGAATCGAATGATATGCAATACGACCTCCTTCGATTAAGTTCGTGGCCTGATGGGCTCTGAACTGACCTTGACTCGAGGTCAATACCTTAAGTTGACCTCACCCGAACAAAAAGTATACCATTCGACGCGCCTGAGCCAGGCGAACACGATGGTGTCAAATCGCTGCTCTGCGGCCATTTTTTGCGAAATTATTTGCCAAAAACCAAACCCTACCTTGGGCTTTTTGACTTCACCTCAGAGGTTACCGGTTGACCTGGGACCTTAAAATCGGGTATCAATCGTTCCGCCTTGAAACGGCGCACACGCTTGTTTTTTCCGCGAGGCTCTAGCTCCATTAGGGGCGAAACGGAAAAAAGGGGTCGTACCAACCCTCCCCCCTCGGCCGGCCGAGGGGGTGGGGGGTCCGACAATAGGTCCGGCGAGGGTTAAGCAGCCCCACTTAATTTTTAGCGTGTTTGCTTGTCACTGAGATCAACAACTCAATCACAAATAATTTCTAGCACTTTTCCGGACCCCCGGCCCAGTGTGGAGCGCCTGAGAGGTATGCTGCACCGCATAACAGCAACTGCATGGAGCGATGAGCTAATTCTCTAACGCTGCGCACGGGACGGGGGGCGGACGGAAGCTTCATGTGTGCATCTGTCATCTGAGCTTATTTATTCGGTTTATTTTTCAAATACGAAAGGAATTAAGTACCTAATAATAAAACAGAAAAAAGAGCACACAGAACATCCGCAAAACATCTTCGCATTAACCCGCGCCCTGCTGGGGGTCCTGGATTTCCACGCCCTGCTGGGGGGGGGGGGTGTTTGAACACCCCCCCTTCTAACTCGGCTCCTGGGCCACGTAGCGATACGCGGAAGGCGGCGTTCGAAAGAGCGTCAAAAATAATGACGAAATCACTTCGGTCAATTTTTTGGTCAGGGCAAAGGTCAGGTCACCAGAGGTCATTGAAGGCAAAATTTCGCCGATTTCCAGGTCAAATGTCGAAAATTTCCAAGAAGCCAACGCATAACTCGGGAACCAATAGAGCTACAGCGCCGCGGAAAAGCGCATTCGATAGCCCTATTAACGCCCTTTCAGAGTAATACTCTCAGATTTGACCTAACGTCAACGGTTTTGCCTGCAGGGGGCAAAAACTGCAAAAATAGCCGATTTTTTCGAAAACAGTTTTTCTACAATAACTTTTGACCCAAGCCTTGTACGAGCTTACTTTTACCGCCATCGTGTTCCTCTCGTCAAGACGCATCGAATGAACTATAACTTGACCTTGAAGGGTCAACTTGAAAATTTGACCTCAGGTCAAGGTCATGACCTGACCGGAAAGGGTCATGTTGCATATCAGTCGATCCGTATCGTCGAGCTGAACACATCTAAGGCGTTTTCATCGCTCTAGAATGCCTCTATCAAAAGTTATTTGCGAAAAACTGTTAGATACCATTCGTGACCTGAGATGACCTCAGGGCATAAACAAGGGTCACGGACACCATTTTTAAGTTCAGTGTGTCTAAAACACTTGTAATTCGGTGTTTGGGAGTGTTTATAATGTCTTTCATCCAAAAGAGGCTCATTTCAATTTTCTCCCATTGACTTATAATGGGGAGGTCGCAAAATTGACCTGACCTTAGGTCATCGATATCAAAATTCTGAGATATACATTTTGTACATGCTATTGCCCTTAGCAATCGCTGAAAGTTTCAAAGCGATCGGTCACTCGGTGTAGCTATGACAGACATTGAAAGTTTTTATGAGGTGAGGTCACTTCAAGTGACCTGGTGACCTGACCTCGAATGACCTTGGTCTGAAATTTTCACAACATGTGTAGAATTGATGTATGATAAGGTGTACCAAAAACGGCGGCGCTCCGCGCCGCCGTTTTTGAGATATTCGCGAAAAACCACAAGGGGGGGTGTTCAAACACCCCCCCCCCAGCAGGGCGCGGGTTAAAAAAGAGCGATGCCATGAACTGTCGTAATATACATGGTCGTGCAATAGGTAGGGACGGATCGAAGTTAAGCTTGTTTCACAAGCAGGTTCGATATTTGCCCTTCGATGGTCCATTTAAATATTTCGACGTTCAAAGGTTATTATTGTTCTAGCGGTTTAGCATCCGGGATCTCTGAATTTAAGACTCCAAAGTCCAACTAAAAAATTGCCCAGAAATGCTCGCTTCTCAATCTCTCCTATACACTCTCACTTATGTAATATGTATGCTGCACTTGCGACAGCATGCTACATTTCTAATATAATCATCGCTAGCAATATTATTCCCGCTACGAGAGACCTCTCTGATCTTTATTACTAGGTTACCCCTACTTAAACTACTCAGGTTGATATTCATATTTCATCATCTGAGTTGTTCTTCAAACGAATTATGGAGTCTGCTTCCATAAAACGGCTCATTTTATGAATTAAAATAAACGAAATAGCTTGAATTGTTCTGCGATGAACGACCTTGAACAATTCAAACACTTCGGAATAAGGGGAAGGGGTGCCGCCCCTCTGTAGGTAGGTACTTATTTTTTCGCGATGGCTCGGAACGTGATGGCGATAGAGCTGAAACTTAACGTACCTGACCCTACCGACCATAACGGATCTTTGGACACCATGCGCATTTTTAGGCTAGGTCAGGTCACTGACCTATGACGTCCTAAGTAGACCTCGGCACGGTCCTAAAATGTCGCAACTTCGCAATGCCCTCAGTACCAGAGGAGGAGCTTTCACAGGGAGATGAAACTTGCAGGGCCTAGTATCCTCTAGAGGCCTCACAAGTTGCATATTTCGGATGTTTCGAAAAAAGTCACCTGAGGTCAGGTCATCTAGGTATGTGACCTCGGCATTATAGGCCTATATGGGGGGGGGGGGGGGGAAATATGGAGTGTTATTTTGGCGCCGTGAATGATCTACCTCAAGCACATGAAACCGTGATTTCATGCACTCGTTACAAAGTCCGATGCTTTACTTTTACATTGTTGACCTTGCATGACGCCGCTATAATCATAGAAGTTTTTCGTCAATAACCCCCGATCAAATTGAGCTTGCGAGTCGAGAAGGCCACTAATGGACTCGGCAAGAACTGCCAAATCGAGTGATGTGCGATATGATATGGGTGAAACGGCGAGGGAAAGTCGCACCCGCCCTCAACCCTCGATCGGGACGTGTGTAGAAAACCAGTAGGTCCGGCTAGAGTTAACTTACACGTAAAAGTCCTCACCAATCACCATATAACCTATAACGTGTTCCTCTACAACTGTTGTTTGCTACGACTAGCCGCTCCAAGTTTATCCTATTATAGGGCAGCGGGTGCACAAGGCACACTCGGCAATCCGACTCTGGCGATCAATACAGCCTCTCCTACAGGTATGTGGGCGTGGCGGATCGGTTATCGGAGGACAACGCAGGCGAGATGTCGGTCTGACGATCTCCAGATATTATTCCAACTGAAACATGTCCCATATCTAATGAACTGAGGTCGTCAATGGGGACACCACGAACTAATGAGCCCCATCAAAATTCAGGAACGAAGAAATTCGTGCAATCGCATGGCCTTAAGTATCTATTACCGACAAAGCATCTAATGTTGATCGGGACGTGACGGAGCTTTAAGGAACCGTCAGGCTCGTAGCGCCGCGAATCGTATTTCATGCGGAGGACGAAATGAGTGTAACATGAACCGGCTGAGATTGCTAGCGTCTAATAAATATGATCAAACGTTTCATCACACGTTTTGGAACGAAGCCAATAAAGCCATCTACATACGGCATATGGTTGTGCAATTCGGCTTGATCGGGATAGGGTTATTCCCAGAGTGATGTATAAATATGTTGTCAGGCCCCATACCATAACGATTCACCGGACAATAACTATACAGCCTCACCGGCCGTCTGACCGCTCGTTTTCTCCTCGCCCGTCCACTCGGCCCGCCACTCTGCTATAGCTCTGATCGGTTGGTGACCTGACCACTCTGCGCCAGGTCCGACCCGGCGCTAGTTCGTTCTACTCACCGATTTGATCTCGATGACCTCTGGCTCTGCAGCAGCTGCCGGTGCCGGAGCCGGTGCGGGCGCGGCCTGCTGCGGCACGGCCACCGGCTGCTGCACGTGCTGCTGCGTCTGCTGCACGGGCACAGCCGCCGGCTGCGGCAGCGGCGCGATGGCCGTGGTCGGCATCGGCGCCAGGCCCTGGGCGGCCATCGAGCGCTGCCGGGCCACCTCGATCACGCGCTGCATCTCTGAGCGCGAGCTGAGCAGCAGCGTCACCTGGGCGTTCTGCAGCCGGCCGCCGGTCTTCATCATGGCCTGGCGGGCGTCCTCGTCGGAGCTGTACCGGGCGGACAGAGTGACGGTGTGATCGGCGGCCCGCACCTGCAGCCCGACCGGTGCCGGGCGGCACGGCGGCAGAGCGGGGCACACGGGGGACGGGGAGGGGGCTCCCAACAGCGGCACGGCACGGCATGACAGGGTTCATAGTTCAGTTCCTTGCGATTCATGGTACGATCCTATTTATCAGTCGTGTTGCATGAACAAACAAGATACAGCAGTGAAACTGTGCACATCACACCATCATCACCAACCCAATCACACGTAACATCTCAGCAACTGACCAATCAAACGGCCCCTACACAAATACCTAAGCATTCTACAAAAAGGGACAGCAATGAGACGTAAATAAGAAACAATTGGTTTGACTGGGCATTAGATGCATTCGTGCGAAATTTACGAATAGATGTGTGCCGAGTGGTGGTATAAAAATATCCTCTGAGCATTCCTATCAGAAATGAAAGCTGCTCGTTAGTCGGTATGTCTTCAAAGTTCACCATTCCTTAAGTTAAGTTGGTTCTTCAGCATAAATTGACTCCCCAACGATTACCTAACTTTCTTCATTGTGTTACATTGTACTGTACCTATCAATCGAAATCATTTGAAATGCAAGAAATCATTTTCGATATCATTGTATAGGTAAGGTATGCTAATATTTATATGCAACTTGATTTATCTTCAAATCAGCTTCATTCGGGCCGTTGGTCAAGAACCATTCGATTAGCCCGAGTCATGACGAGGTAGGCTAGGGAGCTAGTGGGCAGGGGGAAGGAGGATGAGTTGTTGAGTGCCGTTACGAGACGCAGCGACTGCCGACTGGTACCCAATTTTAAGGTCTCAGGTCAACCGGTGACCTCTGAAGTCAGGTCATATGACCCAAGGCACGAGTTTGGTCTTTGGAAATAACTTCACAAAAAAATGGCCGAAGAGCCGCGATTTTGGAACCATCGTGTTCGCCTTGCTCAGGCGCGTCGTCGAGTGGTCTACTGTTTATTTGGGTGAGGTCAAGTTCAGATGTTCACCTCGGGTCAAGGTCAGGTCAGAGCCCCCAGGCCACGAAGTTGGTCGAATGGGGTCATATCGCATATCATTCGATTCGGCAGGTCTTCCCGAGTCCATTGGTGGCTTTCCCAGCTCGCCAGCCCACTTCGATTGGGAGTTATTGACGAAAAACTTTTATAACCCTAATCATGTACGTCATTACTCATTAATAGCGTAACGCAATGCCAACGATGCAAAAGTGTGGCACTAACCTCGCAAGAAGTGCATGAAGCCACGATTCCATTGCTTGAGATAGTCCGAGATCGTTCCCGGCGCCAAAATAACCGTTTTCATTTTTCCCAATGAACCCTCGGCGGACCTATTGGCTTTCTACATACGCGCCGGCCAAAGGGGGGGGGGAGGGGCGGGTAGGACCCCCTCGCCGTTTCGCCCCTGGTGGAGCTAGCGCGTCGCGGAAAAAACGAGCGTGTGCGCCGTTACGAGACGCAGAGATTGGTACCCGATTTTAAGGTCCTAGGTCAACCGGTGACCTTTGAGGTCAGGTCAAGTGCCCCAAGGTACGGTTCCGTTCTTGGTCAATAACTTCGCAAAAAACGGTCGCAGAGCCGCGATTTTGGCAGCATCGTGTTCGCCTCGATGCTGCCAAAATCGCGCTTCAGGCGCGTCGAATGATATATTTTTTATTTGGGTGAGGTCAACTTCGGGTGTTGACCTCAGGTCACGGTCAGGTCAGCACCCCCAGGTCACGAAATCGGTCAAAGTAGGTCATGTCGCATATCATTCGATTCCGCAAGTCTTCCTGAGCCCATTGGTGGCTTTCCCGACTCGCTAGCTCAGTTTGATCGGGAGTTATTGACGAAAAACTAATACAGCCCTAATGACGTCATAAATGACGTCACGCAAGGTTAACATTGTAAAAGTGACGCATCTAACCTTGCAAGGAGAACACCAAATCACAATTCTGTGTGCTTGAGATAGTTGGAGATCGTTCCCGGCGCCAGAATAGCAGTTTTCATTTTTCCCCATTGACTTAAAATGGTGAGGTCACGAAAATGACCTGACCTCATATGACCTTTAGGAAAAATCCGAGAAATAAAAGTTGTGAGACTCTTAACCCTATTCCTGGCGGGCTCCGCCGGGACAAGAAACTGGCGGGGGGGGGGGGGGCCGATTCGGCCCCCCCTGAGATCTCGAGAACGAAGCAAGGTAGCGACAAGCGGTAAACGGCATCGGATACGCACGGCCAAGATCTACAATTTTTACTAAGGTCATTTTCAGGTCAGGTCAAAGATGACGTCACAGGGGTCGAAAAAGTCAAAATGGCGGCACTAGATATGGAGAGAGTTTTTCTCGAATAACTTTCGAATTAGTCAAGATAGGAACAAACTAAGGGCATCATCGTGATCCTCTCGTCAATCCGCATCGAATGATATATATGTTGACCTCGAAAGGTCAAGGTCAAAGGTTGACCTCAGGTCACGTGACCTCGAGGTCATCATGTATATCATTCGATGCGTCTTGACGAGCTGAACACAATGAGACCATCCACGCGTCTGTATCTTGTTCCTGTACGGAGTTATTGGCCAAAAACCTTTGGTGACCTTTGATGACGTCACATGACCTCACAGCTGCCCAACAGCAAAACAGACCTCAAGGTAGTGAAGGTTGATCGTATATGAAGTCATGTATGGTATATGGGGCCATTCCAACCCGTTTTAGTGGTAAAAACAGGGAGTTGATTTTTCCCCCATTGACTTATAATGGGGAGGTTGCGAAATTGACCTGACCTTAGGTCACCGATATCAAAATTCCGAGATATACAAATTGCACATACTGGTACCCTAACTAAACCCTGAAGAGAAGAAATTGATCGGTCAAAAACTCTAGCTCTGGCGTGATTGCAAACTTTTCTGAGGTAGCGTCACCAAACCACCTCTGGTGACCTGACCTGAGGTCAGATCAACTCAAAATTTTCAGACATGTTGCGTAGAAGCCTTTTAGGAAAAGTCAGAAAATTTGAGCTTCCTAGCTCAACGCGTTTGGGAGATATAACCAAAAAACCTCAGGGGGGGGGGCTCCTGAGGCCCCCCCCCCCGCCAGGAATAGGGTTAATGGATATTAGATCCTGCAAGTTTCATTTCCCTGTGAAAGTTACTCTGGCAGTGAGGGCGTTGCGAATTTGCGACATCTGAAGAACGTGCAGAGGTTCACTTATGACGTCATAGGTCAGTGACCTGACCTGACCCGAAAATGCGGTTGGTGTCAAAAGATCCGGCTTGAATCAAAGGTTAGGGATGCCAAGTTTCAGCTCTCTATCGCCAGCGTGTTCGGAGCTATCGCGAAAAAACCCTAGGGGGGGGGGCGGCACCCGCCCCCCCCTCGGCCGGCGAGGGTTAACTTATGCCTAATCGTGAGGTCACGTGACCGACCTGACCCATTTGTTCCTATCGTGACTAGTTCGAAAGTTATTCGAGAAAAACTCTCTCCATATCTAGCGCCGCCATTTTGACTTTTTGACCCCTATGACGTCATCTTTGACTTGACCTGAAAATGACCTTTGTAAAAATTGTAGACCTTGTCCGTGCGTATTCCATGCCGTTTACCGCTTGTCGCTATCTTGCTTCGTTCTCCAGATCTCAGGGGGGGGGGGGCGGTCATCCGCCCCCCCGTCGGTTCTAAGTTGGCGCAGACCCCCGTCGCGTCGGTGCGCGCACTGCCGACATTTGGTCCCATTCTTTCCATGCAACACCCATAGGGCTAATGTTAAAATGCCAAAATCAAAGGGGGGCACGGTGCCCCGGTGCCCTCCCCGTTCCGCCGCCTATGCCGCGCCACCCGCCGGCCGCTGGGGGGGGGGGCATATAGTTGCCCCCCCCCCCCCATTTGGTACGATATCGTCGGAACGCGAAGAGATAGAGAAGCGAAACTTTGCACACATCTTCCTGAATACCTAGCCGAGGTTGTGTCCAAATTTGGTGTCGATCCCATTTGAAATGACGTCACAGTGACGTCAGAAGTCAAATTATAGATTTGCGACACTCTGTTTGCTCACGGTATATATCGACACCTTTTTTTTTAAACCCCACATCTGTTCTCCGGTGAATTTCCGGGATGCACGAAAGATCTTTTTTAGAATTGTCCAATCGTCCGATCCTGATCAAATTTGTGTGTTTGTAAGCTTGCTCTGGCATTGCTTGATCTGCCAAGACAGACAAACTTGAGAAAAATCGAGTGGCTGTACCTTTTTTGAAGGTTTCTAACAAACTTGTCTGAACCTCACGGGAGAACAAATGTGGGGTTTAAAAAAAGGTGTCGATATGATATACCTACCTATGAGACCGATTACCTACATCTACAACGGACCAAATATTGGTCAGGAACTAGTTGGAAGTGTGCTTAGATGTTTTAGGATGACAGCACGTGCTGTCTTGTTCATTTACTGTTGAGTTTCATGCTCAGCGACATTAGAAACGGTCCATATCGGAAAACGACAGTTCATGACGTCACTGTGACGTCATCTTCGGTGCTAAAACTACCAAACTTTCCTCGAACATTGCCTAGGTATTCATTTGAAGCCACGTCAACTTTCACCTTCGTAGCTCATCAGGTTTCGGAGATATTCCACAGAACGTAAAGGGGGCAACTTTATGCCCCCCCCCCCCCGTGGGTTAAGACCTACTGGATCCATACTTGGCCGTCATACCCCAACCTCAACGTCAAAAGTGCAGCACGATTTTTCTGTGAGGACTATTTGATAAAGACAGAGCAAAACCACGGTGAATGAACACTGGAGGCATGTGAGTGCACCACAAGTGATTACGAATTTTTAACTCCATGGTGCTGCACACAAAAACTTTATACGATATATGGTACCGTTGATGTTTCCAATAAAATAAGTGTTTTTAAAGAAGTGGGAATAAAAGAAGGTCTCAGGTCAACTGGTGACCCCTGAGGTCAGGTCAATCGTCAAAAGAGCCCAGTTTTGCCCAGGCACGGGTC